TTTTCTAAACACAAAATGTATCCGTATCTGCAGAGTTTCCAATACAATTATAGGCGCCAACCTGTTCTGCTGTAGTTCTGGCCTTCATGGATGTTTTTCTTGTTATTCTACCCCCAAATAGCGTACAAAACGGTAGGAAAAAAAGATGCCCTTCTGTGGTCAAAGTGAAAAGGAGATATTAAGGCAATTTATGTTGCATTTTGTCCAGATGAATATTTTCATAACAGTTGAGAAAACAGTATGTTGAATAGAGCACCCTATGGCAACCAGTCAGAGTAAAAGAAATGCTAGCTAAAATCCAGGGCTTTGGTTGCTTTAAGCCTTCCTAGGCAAGATTAAATCAAAATATTTCCTATATACATTCCTTCTTTTCATCAGCATGTCAACTACAGTAAGTAAGAATGTGCTATTAATTCTCAGCATCAAAATCTGGGATAATTTTATATAGTTGAATATGTTTCCTTACTTTAACAGAAACAACTGTTACTGGAAATATTTTCCAAAGCATGCTGCAAGTGGAGCTAAGTAAATCTGCAAGCACACTGCACACTTTTCAGGGAAAATGTTTCTAAAAATGAATCAGGATTTAATAAAAAATGTCTCTGAGGTATGTAACATGCCCATAATACAGTATTTTTCAATTTTCAACCCTGTATAGAGCTTTTAAAACAATAACAGATGGACAAAACAAAAAAGTACAATTCTTCCTTATTGTCTCATGCACAAACATATAACACACGTAGAAAACCAAAGACATGCTCTAAAACATTAATACTGCTTTTATATTTTCCATTAGAAAGACAACTCGCTTGCGATTCCTTCTCCCTTTAAATTGTTTCTGTGGCAACACATCTGGTGCTATAATTCTGGGCCAGAACATTAACTATCCTGAAAGAAGAAAGTTATGTTGTTGTTCTGGTCTGCAAGAATATGAAGCAAAGAGATCTGCAAATACATGTAACCGTATAACCCTTTCCACCTTCATAGGCGCACATAATGTTGACTATCAATACTTACGCATAGCTTAAAAGTACAAGTTTTAAAATGTTCCTACAATGGTTAGAGAAAACTGTTGTGGTGAGCACACATTCTGTGAGCTTTTTATTTATTTTTTTTTAGAACAAAACGATGAATGCTTTGTTACTGCTATTCTTACCATATGAAAAATGTGAGGAAAGCATGCAGCTAAGAGGAACAAGGTTCATTCTTAGTCATAAACGTAACTTGCCCTACATCGTTGAGAACACTTGATATTGATTTCTTATCATCCCTCCAATGCTATGTAAACATTACTGTACTATCACCATTTTACAGATGAGATTTGTCAGGAGCACATAAGGCCAGAATGTCTGAAGTGTCTGTTAGATGTGAATGCCTCTACTGCTTGTTGCCCATGCTGATGCATGCAGTCCTTGGCCCTCTAAGCTGTTGAGGGCCAACAGATCTTTCTTACTTGAGATTATAGGAACCTATTAACACTTAGTTTATGTTTTAGAGATCCCAGCTTCAGCCTTCTAGCATTCTTAGAATCTCTAGTCTGAACAATTTAGTTGTAGAGAAAGGAAAGAAAAAACAGAATAAAAACTTAACAAACTGAACTTGGGGCTGTACATTAGCATATGAACATTTTTTTTAATCTCTAATAAACTGTAAGAATAATCTAGAGCAAGTTAATAGGGGCATTATACAGTTCAATTGAGATTGACACGGTAAGATGCCAACACTACAGTGGATCTCAGTCCATGATGTAAGGACCAGAGCAGTTTGCAAGGATTATTGCACTCTCAGCCTGGAATAGCAGGAGTTAAAAAAAAATACCGAAAATAGATTTTTACTACTCTATCAAGTAAATCAGGGATGAATTAATGGAAAGAACATATCTGATGGATAAGAAAATATCACTGACACAGTTACTTTTGCAATAATTGCATTTTAAGTTCCCTGTGAAACAGATTTTATTATTTAACTAGAAATAGCCAAATTCAAACCTAGATCAATTACATACGAAATGGTTTGTTAACTACACTTACAGCGTTTTCTGTATTAGTGACAAAGAAAGCGAGATTGTCTGGTATTCTGATCCTCTAAATTAGTAATGATTAAATGCACTGACTGGCTGAAAACCAAGTTGTTGGTTTTTTTTTCTTCCCAAAACATTGAATAGAAATCATGGTTTCAGGCACTATGTCTTTGAAGACATATTGGTTTAAAGCAATCTGCACTGAGGGAGAATAAACTGGCAACAGAAATGGAAAAGTTGGAAAAAGTGGATAAAAACTGGTAAGTCAGAAACAGACCTTTAAGTCCCTCTTGGACTAGTGGAGGCGTCATCTTAAGATCAGAATTAAACCCAGGACCCTGAGCACCTGTAGTCATTAAAGGCCTGCTGATGGTCTTTGCAAGACTTGCTGTCTGTATAATTTTGGATTGTCACCAGCCAGTCACCTTCCAAAATCCAGTTCTGGTCAATAACAATCTGGATAATTCAATTCTGTCTGTTCCCTTTTTCTCAGTCTTTTGGCTAAGAGCAAGTGTGTATATTAAACTAATGTTAAACCCACTATTTTACATGAAATATCTACTTCTCTTCCAATGTAGCCTTACTATTTATTTCATCCAAAGGGCACGATTAACAACCCCTCTGAGACATGCCTCATTCCCTTGCTTTGTTTTGCAAAACTTTCTATACCCAGAGCCTCTCTTTTGTCCTGGTACACTACAATTCCACATTATCATTCTTCAAGCCCTCAAGAGAGACACATTACAATTGTAACTTTCCCCTCCCAGTAGACTGACTTCCTTTCTAGCTATAATAGCCCCACTCCACTTCTCAGGTTCTTTATAAGCATATCGCAAAGGAGTATTTGCGAGGAATTAGCTGTGGAAGGGAATAAATTGATATTGGTCAATCTGCTACTATGGGGACTCAGGTCCCTGCCTGGACTGATCCTAAGGAACCCAGGGCTGAAGCAAACATTGCAGAGCAACTCTGCTGCTGCTCTTCATCTGGACATAAGGAAATCATCTCGTGTTTATACTGCCCTTTAGGGAACAGCATTACATAACTCACTGTTTGGCCTATATTTCACCATTCTTGGCTTCATGCTGTTAACAGAAATGCCACTCCTTCACTTCAGTTACTGACTCTAGAATTGAGCCCAGGATAGGACACAGAACCTGATGTCTCACGGATGCCCTTTCATTCCTCTAAACAATATTCAGAATCTAATGGGCGGAAAAAATTTAACAAGCTAGCTGCTCACTACCATATCGCACGTGTCGCATCCCTGATAAGCTTCTCTCTAGACCTGGGGCACAAAGTGGGCTTGGTCTGCTACTCAGTAACACCTCCTTCCCATATGGGAAGCACTAGTGCTTATGTCATCCACTCTGCAGAATTCAGGGCAGCAGCATGTAACTGAGCAACTGCATGAGAAATGAACATTACGGAGAAGTTTTTAATGTTCACGTTCCACTAGACACCACATCTTTCTCAGACACCTCTCTCCATTCAACATAAAATGCTCCCTCAGATGTACCTTGTGTTGTTTACTACCCTTACACGATCTAAAATGACCATTACTATGCTTTTTCTTTTTCAGTAAAGTCTTTCCAAAAAGATTATGTAATGCCCCTCATTAAAAGGTGTAGCTCCCATTTTACAGCTGTGAAAACACTGGTAGAGACAGATCAAGTCTTGTTACCAATGAAGTGAATGACTGAGTCGGGAGTTCTGAGTACTGCTGCTCTGACTCCGGTTCGATACTCGCACGCTCAAGAATTACGTAACATCATTTTCCAAACCCGTTCAACTTTCTTGGGTTGATGAACAAGTCAATTTCCATATGGCCCAGTGTATTTAAAACTTATTGAAAGGGGAAAGTAAACTCTGTCTGCAGCAAAACGTAACCGGGCCACGATCCAAAACCTCAATCCATATTTATGAGCAAATAAAATACAACCTCTACACATTCAAAAAGAGCTTACAAAAATATAACCAGCCCATACAGCGACACCTCCAAAACACAACCCCCGCAGGATGGCATAAACATTGCCCTGCTCCTCTGACTTTTCCACCTGCTCCAGCCAGGCATTCACCTCCTGAGGGGTTCCCGGGTGTCTCCTGGCACGAACGCGCTTACCCCTGGCTAAACCACCACCGCACCGCCCTGCTCCTGCAGGAGGGCTCGATGCTTGCCTGCTCACGGCTCTTCGGCTCCCGGCTCTCCGGAGGTGCCCCCGCTGGAGGAGCCGGGCAGCTCTTGTGGGTTTCCCGCAGCTCTCCCCGCCGCGGTGCCGGAGCCTCCCGGTTGCCCCGCGGCGCCCGGTCCCCCACCGGCACCGGGACCGGCACCGGGACCCTGCTTCTCTCTCCCCCCCGCCAGCCGCAGCCCCGAGGCTCGGTCGTGCTGCCAGGTGCTGCCTTACCTGCGGGCTCGCCGGGGCCGTGCCGCCGGGAGGGCTCCGCCAGCCCCGCTTATCGCCGCCGGCTGCCGCCCGGCCGGGCTCCGCTTCCAGGAAGCCGCGGCTCCGGAGCGCTGCTGGCTCGCAGCTGGCTGCCGATCGCCCCGTCCCGCTCGCTGCCTCCCTTCCTCCCTCCCTCCGACCCCCCTCATCCTGGCAGGGGGGCTGGGAAAGTGCAGCGAGGCTCCGGCACATGCCGAGCTTGCGGTCACGGCCCGGACCCTCTGCTATTAATCAGGGAGCATCCCAAGCGCCCCCTCGCTTGCTCCAGCTGCTTTAGCAGGGCCGGGGCAAAGGGGCTCCGCTCGCAGGGCCACCCACCCCTGTCCCCCCGGCATCCCCCCTGTCCCCGCTCTCCTCACCATCCTCCTCCAGCCCTCATCAGCCTTTCCCTAAGCAGCATCTTTCCTTCTCCTAGCGCCCCTTCCCCTTCTCCATCCCGTCCTCCCAGAGGTTTTCTATTACTGTCCCATGTGTCGTTTGCTCCGTTTCATTCTTTGCTAACCCAAGCCCTTTCTGCTGCACCCACTACTGACCTCGTTGCTTCCTCAGGCAGGCACTGCTCCTCCAGAATGAGCTCCCTTCTGCTTGTTTTCTGGACTCCTTCCACATAAGCCTGGCAAAAAGATGTGAATTTGTGATGTAGAAAGCAGGACGAGATCCTCCCAGGTTTGCTGCCTCACCATATGAACCCACACAATCACATCTCTTTTCTTTTGAACAATGCCTTGCCAGGCCTTTTGTAAACACCAACGCACATCTGCGTTCCTGCCCTGGGCACAGCACCTTGTATTAATTACGGTGTGTCTCATCCCTCTTTCACTTTCACCTGTTTTTTCACCATTTCCCCGCAGAGTCAGCAAGTTGATTGACTGACAGCACAGGAAACTCAACGCTCCCCACGAAGCAAATGAGCTGACTGTACGGAAGTCGGATGTGCTTGTAAGATAACTTTATTACTAAATGTGTTTGCTCCCCTTCAAACCACATACAGCGAGACCTAGGACACGCACCAGGCCCTCCTACGATCGTGTCTCAGGAGGATAAAACACAAGCTAAAGCTCCCAAAGCACCAGCTGACCACAGATCCCCCCCCAAGAACCTGTCAGGGCAGAGTTATTGCTCTTTTACAGTACTTTATGACATTGCTTAAATGAAAGCCTTGAAAAAGGGGAGATCTCTCACATCACTGAAAAAAGCATGGTTTTAAGAAGATGCAGGAGGGAATGGACACACATGAAGATGAGAGCAATAGGAAAGAAGCTGGGCTGATGGAGTCAGCTGAGCAAATAACTCAAGCACTTTGGGTTTAATATGCTTTAGAATGAACAGTGCTGAAATGCAAGTAAAAGTGGTTTTCATACCTGATCTTGAAGCTGATAGGTGCTTGGAGGGCTGAAAAAAGGCACCAGTGATACCCCACGGAGAAGACAAACTGCAAGGAGATGCAAACACATGGACTTGTGCATGTAACAACATTACATATTCTAAGAACTGTAACTCTACTTATTGTTCTCTTGCCTTTCCCAGTATTTGAGGGTTTTAAGACCAATCACACTGCTTCAAGAAGCATCCCCCTGGCAAATACAACTATAGCAGCCTAAGATGGAGCAAGCCACATGGCCGGCCTCTGCTTGGGGTTACCAGTCTTACAGGGGGCCAGCAGAGCTGGCTGCGTGCTCCTGCCTCAGGCCCAGCAGCGTGAGCTGTGTCAGATCAGCTCACACAGCACAGGGCTATGCTAAAACCTGGGCTACGAACTGCAGCCGTAACAGCGCGGACTCGTGTCTCAGTGTGCCAGCCACGCAGCAGGGTGGAGCACGCAGGGGCTATTTTAAAGCAACTTAACTGGATTTGCAGGAGGACGGTTGTCAGAACACCAAATCTCTGCAGGAGCCCTACACAACTGCTGTTGACCAAAGAACCTTTACTGTTACTGTCATTTCCTCCTGACTTATAATAAATCGCACAGACCAAACCCTCAGCTAACGCAAATGACCGAGGTTCCATCACTCCCTCTGCAGATGGCCATATTTAGTTCAGCTGAGGATTGGTCGTGTTTTTATTCCAGTTTATTTTTTTATGATCTTCATTTGCTGTGTCTTCATCTGGTGTGTTTATGTGGCTGGTGCTTGGTTTTCATTATTTTTAACTGCATTTCAGATTATTTGCTCAACGGTTTTGTTCACATTCTCTCCTTTTCCATGAAATTGTAATAAAACACTTGGCTACAGATTTTCTAAATTGAATACTGATGTTTAGTGCAGCTAATTATGTAGCAGGGTTCAAAGTGAGTTCTATAATGTAACAATTTACATATTCTTGAAAACAATGGACACAAACCTAAAAACTATTGTTACAAGCTAGTTTCACAGTCTTCTGGAATTTCCTTTAAAAAATACATATGTTTGGTATTCTCACGCATATAAAAAGCAGTAAATACTCAATTGCTGCCACCATTATAATATTTATGAAGAAAAAAAACAAAATACACTGATGCCTCTCAGACCTAAAGGGTCATTAAAAATGAGAGTATGTTTTCTCCAGTAATCTCAAAGCACCTCACAAATATTAATTCAGCCACCTGACATCCATCAAGTTGTGTGCCAATGATACACACAGATCATTCTGCAATGAAATATTCAGGACAGTTGCAAAAAATGTTATACATTGACTGTTCCAGCCACACCAATGTTCTGGAAAAATCAGGATTCACTTTAAGCAATTTTAATAATTATCAGATTGACTTTAAACAATGTTATTGTTTAAGTATGGACTTAAGTAATTCTTTTTTGGTCTCTAAACCAACTGAACTATAGACAGAAAACTCTGTGTAGACCAGGCTACTAGGGAAGATCCAGACTAAACTGACTTTTAACAAAGGCTCCTGTGAGCCATACCTCTGTTTACACTAGCAGTAGCTAATAACTTAGCTAATAACCTAGTTAGCAGTCTTAATATGGTCCTTTACCCCAGGCTAACCTGGAGAAAACAATCATTGTTCTTGCAGCTCTTGGTGCAAGCAATATGTATGCTAACAGTTGCTTGTCTCTCTACACCACCCTTTTTTATTTTGCATTCTTTTCATTTTAAAATGTTACTTCAATGTTAATTAATATGAAGTAATCTGCATAGAAGCAGATTATCAATACATTGGCACTTCTGTTATTGTAACACAACAAACTCCAGAAGTTCAAGCACACCATCCCTATATAAAGAATATTTACCAAGATTTTCTGGGAGTGTGCTATAATAAGAATAAACTGTAGTTACACAGGTCCAGAATTCTAAGCATTTGAGTTTTTGCTTCTTTGTACATTCATCTGCCTGCACTGGAATTTTTAGTTCACAGTGTTATAGCTCAGGAGGGAAAATAGAAGAGAGGCCAACAGAAGTAGAGAATACGCTCTCAGAGCTGAACAGGACTGTGACAGTGGCTGAACTCACATGGACTCAGTATTTCCAAATGTGACATACATGGAAAAACTGAATTGCTTTGCTGCTCTTCCCTGCTTGCCCTTTTCTATTTTTACTTATTACAGTGGATCAGTGCTGCTCGGTTAATAAGTAGCGACAGCCCTATTATGTCAGCGTCTACACGTCTGCCTGCTTCAGCTCCGTACCTTCACACCGGGTTCGCCTCGCTGATGTGTGCTCACAACACCCTGGGCACAAAAATCCCCGCGGTCAGTTCAATGCCTGGGCACGGCGACTGCTCACAAGCTCCCCCGAACGGGGCCAGCGCCCCGCGGCCCCGCACCGCCCCCTGCCGGCATCTCCCGCCACGCCGTCGGGGGGCGGGGCCTGGTGGGGAGGTGGGCGGGGCCTGGCACAAGCCCCGCCCCCGTAGCGCGGTCCCGCCCCGCGCTGCCCGCAGCCCCGAGCCGGTAACTGAGGGAGCTGCAAACACTGCCGGGTGCTCAGAGCTCGCACCCCGGAGGAAGAGAGGGCACAGCACCACCCTGCAGCCCGGCTGCGGCACAGGAGCGCGATGTGCAGATGAAACTGTCAGCATCCACAGCAGCTTTAAAGCTCGAATGTTACTTGCTTGTTTGATAGGTAATTAATTACCTTTAACAACTGGCAAGGCATGCTGTTTGCTCTATTAAGCCATACCATGGGTGGTCACAAGTAATTTTAAGATCTATCAAACACCATTCTGTCTAAAAACATTCCTTTGTAGCCAAAGGTGTAAGTTACCATTATTCAGCAGAAAGCACTTAAAGCAGCATTTATTCCAGGCTGCAGCTGCTAGCAGGGGGCATTTTTAATCCACCAATAACAGGAACATGCTATCGAGACAAGCTTAAAAGCAAAGTCTTTACTCCAAAAAGTTAATTAAGTGGAGCTTTTTATCTAATTCTCTCTTTAAGCCAAAACTAAAATTCCAAACTCTACCAACGTGAAGCTTAAAAGAAAATTCTGAGCAATTATTCCTTTGATCCATCATAACTCTTCCAAATTCTAGATTAAAAATAGTGGGTACTGGAGAGATAACTAACGTTCATATACTACCTTATAGAAGGAAACACCACCGCGTTATCTATTGACCTATGCAGATCTAGCAGCAGCATGGTTTCTAACTATATACGTGCACCTATACAACCACGGCACTACCAATCTACTCTTGATAGGAGTGTGTCGTATTGCTGATTTGCATACCGGATAAGCAACATACCATTATATCACTATTATGTCTATTATATCACTACTTCCGTGCTGAAAGTTATTTTATAGATATGCAGTTAAAAAAGAAATACATCTGTTACTAAAAAGCAAAGCAAAACAAGAACTCCTCCCCCTCCCTTAAAATGTACATGGCACCAAGTGTTACAAGTCCAGGATAAGAACTCCGTTCTTACTATACATGCCCTATTTAAATATTGCTGTTGTTAATAAGAGCTAAACTGCTATGTAATGGGGTTTACTTGACGAGCTTTGTGCTTATGTTTGTATAGTGCTGTTGGTATGCACTGTATTTCATGGAGATAAAACATAACAAGCTACCCTTCCCAAATTCTTTCTATATAATGCAACATTTGTAATTTCAGGGATCCTACTCCAGGATCACAACAGTTAACAGAATATTATGAAAATAACAGAACGTAATGTTCCATGGCTTCATGGGTACCTATAAATAGTGCTTTACAACATTATTTGCATTTGTGAACATCAGATACCTCTACAACAAGAACGGCTTGCACGTACTTATCAAGGGAAAAGGAAAAACAACTTGAGCTCACATATATCCCTAGCATCTTGAACACAAAGCTATCCAAGCATATACACTGTTCTTGAGAACTCCACTTTTTGCAGGGAAATGTAACTGCTATACAAGATGAACATATCAAAAACTGCAAAAGGCATCAAAATGAAAGCCTAACATACAAATTCTATTTGAAAGGAGTAGAATCTGTGATATGACCTTATTATCATTTTTTAATAAAACTTCTCTTCCTATTGAAAAAAACCTCTCATCAACTCCAGTATTTAATCAGATTGCCCCCTGCTTGATCCAATGAGCAAGCGCTGTCTTGTGCAAATAAAAAATAGCTTAAGTTAAATGTAAAAATAGCATAAGCTCTGAGTTACACAATAAAAGATTTGGTAGGTCATCAGTAACAGTCAATATATGCTGGTAGACATTTTTTTATTCTTAGAAGTATTCTTTCAACCCCCAGGAGGGTTGTATATAATGCCACTCCAATTAAGAAGTGGGAAATGTTGAGATGGGAAAGAAGCATCTCATTATACTCCATGGTGGACTTAGTGAACTAATTTCCCCATGAGAACAAACAGGAGAAAAAAAAAAGTCCTCCCACAAACTTCCCCAGCTATCCAGAGATTAGGAAACCCAACCTGTCTTTCAACTTCACAGGAGCTGAAACTAAAGGTGCCATGAATAGTCGTGATCAAGTCATCGGTTTTCCAGAAATTGTGACTAAAATAGCTCTATAAACTTGTGCTACTCCTGGCACAAAAAGCCTCTCTCCCTACCTTTATCTGAAAACAAATTGTTTATTGCATTCCTTCCTCATACGTCAGCTCCTCGTGATGAAAGCAAGCCAGTGATTAATACATTTTATTAGGTTGGTTTCAGTGACTTGAAATGAATTTGCCCTGACTCCTTAAGCATGCTGCCACACCCACTGAATGGAACTCCAACCATTTGAGGAATTCAAGATAGAAAAAAAATATCTTAGACGATACCTCATAAATCTATAGCAATAAAATTAACTGCACAATGGCTTCAAGCACAAATCATCTTCAGAAGGTTCTTCCCCCCTTTTCCTCCAAAGAAAAATGGCAAACCAATTGCTTAAAAAAAAGAAAAGACGTAAAAGGTGTTCCTGGTGCTTTCCTACGACTCCCTAAGACAAGCACACCATAGAAGACAGAAATGGAAAGTAGTCCAAACTCTTTCCAATTTTCTAATTACAGAGTGACAAAATGGGAGGTTTTATCCAAGTCCTGCTCACGTAGCTGTAATCTGTTGCCTTCTGTTTACAACACACAGATTTTATCTAAATTTGCAGGCTGGATTCTCATCTTTTTGCAGGGTAGAAACAAAACATACTAGACGAAGGATGGGAAGACCAGAATTAGCCTAGACACTGTCTGACAGCAAACTATACTTAAGAATTAACAATATCCTCTGTAGTAATTACAACTTGTCTTGGCTTGAGTGATAGCTGCAATTTCTTTGCCTTTGGCATGACAAGATCAACAGTACAAAACATTACCGACTTAAAAGTGATTCAGTACTGGATTTTTTTTAATATTACTGATTACCAGCTGAGACTTAAGAACTGACTAGACACTCACACCTTGCCTCAACCGCAATGAGCTGTTTGAACTCCTGACAGCCGTCTGAACACAGCGTACAAGAGGATGCCTCACACTGAATCCCCTTCTACCAGTTTCATGCGCTGGGAAATAAATAAGTAAATAAATAAATAATTTCAAAGGTTTGTTGACATAACTAGATCTATCTACACACTTTCTTTCTGCCTGTATATGCAAAATTATGTAAACGGAAAATCTTTTTTCTTCAGATTGTAAAACGTAAATGGTCTCCCCATTATGTAGGTTTGTCAGTCCCCTAACAAGGAAATTAAGTAGGTCTTTATATGAAAAAATAGATTTCCTGTCAGCACAAAGCCAATAAACCAGGCCACAAAGCCAACTGTTCAGACACATTACCAGATCCCACAGTATTAGCTGTGGTTAAAATGAAAACAAACTCCAACAACTCCGCAGCCAGGATGGGCTTCAACACATCCTGAGAGCACTAGCTCAAACTTTTACCCCACTCCTCCAGATACGCTCTATATAACTGTAAATACCTTCCACGTAACCCGTGCACACATCCTCGGACACAGGCGCACCTGCTCCGAGCTGAGGGGCGCCTGAGGCATCGCCCCCTGCCCTCAGGGTGGCCAGGCCCTGGGAACTCCTCACAGAAGACCAGAGGAATTGCTGAGTGGTTTGGGCTAGAAGGGACCTTAAAAATCATTTAATTCTATTAATTCATGATTAATACCCCAGCAGGGGCAGAGGCACCTCCCGCTCCAGAGGGCGCTCCACAGCCTGAGGCCAGGCACGGGGGCTGAGGGGAAGGAGGAGGAGGAAGGGGGGCGAAGCGCTGCTCTCCAGCCGCCACAGCCCCGTATTTACACACGACCCCCAGCTCCTCCAGCCCAAAGGTTACCAAGGCGCATCCCACGCCCGCTCCCTGATTTTTTTTCCCTCAAAAAACCCCTCCAGTGCTTCCCTATCGCGTCCCACTCGCTCCCCCCCCTCAGCGGGGCGCCGCCCGCCATCTTGGAACCCCGCCGAGCTCCGCCGCAGGTGCGCGCCCCCGCACCCCCCCCCCTCAGTGCGCATGCCCGCGAGCGGCAGGTGCGCGGCCCCGCCCGGCTGCGCAGGCGCGGTGGCGGCTCGGCGGCGCGGCCCCGCCTCCCCCGCGGCTGGCAGGTGCGGGCGGCCGCCAGGCCCCGCCCCGGCCCCGCTGTGAGGGCGGCGGGAGGCGGCGGGTGGAGGGCGCCGGGGGCGGGCGGCTTCGGGCCTCGCTCCCCGCCTCGATCCCTCCCTTGGCGCCTCGCTCCTTTCCCCAGAGCTCTTCGGAGGGCCCCCGGAGCCGAGTAAGGGGACGAGGTTGAGGTGCGGCCCCTCCCGGCGGCATGAACCGGCCTCACCGCGGGGCCGCGGGCAGCCGGGGCCTGGGCACGATGGAGGTGAAGAGCAAGGTGGGTGCCGCGGGGCGGGGGTGGGCTCACCTGGAGCCGGCCCCCTGAGGGCACGGGGCGCTGAGGGGGCGTCTGTGGTCCCCGGGGGGAGATAAAAGGGGTCTGAGGGGTTGGGGGGGGTGTTGGGCTCCCAGCCCTGCCCAGGAGGGGAAGGAGGTGAAGGGGGAGAAGGTGCGGGTGTCTGAGGGGAAAGAGGGGGTTTAGGCGGAAAGCCCAAACCTCGTCTTCGTCCAAACCTGGAAAGAAATATATATATATTTATTTAACTTAATGGCTCTACGCTTCTATACTCTATTGTGGTTTTTTTTGTTTGTTTGTTTTTGTTTTTAAAGTAGAGCATATTCTTACAGCTCGCTCTGCTTGGTAGAGTAGTTACCTGGCTGCCTTCCCTTAACACAGCACTTGCCTTTAAAAACTCCTCAAGGACTTTACACTGGGAGTTACTTTATCGAGCCCGTATCTCTCTTACGGCTTATACCAACAGTTCCTTGCTGTCAAAGCTTCGCACGGTTCTCTGAATCATCTTGCATCATTATCTCTGCATCCGTTCTTCCAACTGTTAATTTCTGGGTGCTGCTGAGCCATGGTCTTGTTGGCAAATCTTTAGGGTTCTGAAACATTTTATTCTTTGTTTTGGTTTGGATGGATAATATTTCCTTGACTTATTATCTTGCAGTTACTTGTAAACTAAAATTTACAACAGTAAAGGTGTTGGATCTGAGACATCTTAAGTCGTGTCAAGCTATTAAAAAATACATGTAACTTGAGATTAAAAACCCTTTTCCATTGTCTGTGCTCACCTCTACAGGAATGTGTTTTCTTCTATTTGTAAATGCATCTCTTGTGTCTCTGTTTTTTCTAAACCAGTCTCCATTCTGTTTGCCTGTGTTGTGTCCTGTCGTTTCCTGCAAATCAGGTATCGCGACTGCACTGTGGGTGAAGCAGCTAGGACTTGGGTGTCTTTTTTTCTTTTTTTTTCTTTTTTTTTTTTTTTTTTTAAGATTAATATGGCAAAATGCTGAAACTTCTACTAGAAAACGTGTGGTTGGCTTCTCTAGCTTGCGTTGGTGGTAATGATTTTTTTTTAAAGTGTTGTTAACTTAACCTTCATGTGGCCAAAGTCAAAATACACAGGAATACCTGGCAGCCTCGCTTCCAAATACTAGTTAAACATAGCTGTTGCTGTGGAATATGCCTTGCCTTAGCCCAGATCGCTAGGTTTGATGTTCGCCCATCATGTGCTTTGCTTGATTTAAAATGTATCTGGAGATCAGCTGAGCGATGCACCCTTTGGTATTCATAGAGAAGTGCTGAAGTTCTAATGAATAGGGACTGTCTCTTAAGTGCATATTATAAAGCAGGTTTCAAGGCATTCCTCGAACTACTTGTCGCTAATGCATTATTTAAACTTACCTTGATTTAATATAGCATGGTAGTCATCTTCCTTCTATGAAAATAAGGAATTCTGAAAAGAAAGGTTCTGTGGGAGGTGGAGGGGAGCATTACCGCCTGGCTTTGAAGGCTGTGATGCACAGCTCCTTATTTAGGTACTCCAAATCAATAATTGTGCCCTTACTGACAAAGAGATGTCAGCACAGCCCAACTGTACTTGTTATATGAGCAAAATTATTTTGGTAGCCTAGCTTGCTCAATTTGGGTAACTGTTCTGAGCTAACCCTGGGAAGCCCCATAGTGTATTTGTTCTGGCTAACCCTTTCTCTAATCACAGACAAGTTTTATACACCCTGTTAAAGTTTCTGGTGGTGGTATGAAAGCCCCCAAATAAACTTCTGGATTCTGAGATAGAAAGTTCAGGTCCCTGTCCTGCTTCCCCTTACAACTTGGAACAGTTTTTTTTTGTTGGTGGTGGTGGTGGTTTTTTTTTTTTTCAGAATGAAATCTAATACTGATAAGACAAAGACGGATACAGTAGCTCTAAGTTTTGTTCTGTCACTGTTGCTGGAGACCACTAATAGTATAGTAGCAGTAGGCTGTGTTATATAGCACTTAAAGATTCCTCTCAAAGGCCAGTCTTAATCGTGTCCTTTAGTAACTTAGTAAGTTGACATAGCTTGTGTTTTCCCAGATGAGTTACCACGTAACAGCAAGTATTTGTAACCAGCTCCAGCAGCAGGAAGCTTTCCTTTCTTAAATTAGTCTCTCTGAATCTTTTGTCTCCTTTAAACTTCTTACAAGTTGTTAATTTTTGCCAGTGCATCTTTTTTTCTTTAATGGCTTGGAGTGCAATATTTGATATAAACCGAAAACAATTCAGAGGGATAAAATAAACTGCCCATGAAATTGCATGGTTTTACTTTTGTGTTTATCTACTTCCTAATAGCATCGAGCATCTGGCAAGCCCCGTTAGGGAGTAATAGCCAGATGATTTGTTTCTTGGTGTTTGCACCAACTTCATATAAAATCACGTGGAAAACTAAAATCCCAAGTTTGAAAAGCTGGTCCTTTGTCTGCCTCCTGCAGTAGGACTTAACACTTCCTTCAAGTTGAGAGTAGGTTTGTTGGCTTTTTTAACGTAATAGTATTTAAACTACATAGTTTTTCAAAGCCAAGCAAATGGAATTTGGTGCAATGCCTGGAGAGTTTCTGTAGCGTTCATACTTCAAATAGCTGAAGCAAGATTAAATAGGAACACGAGACAAATTCTTTCCCAACGTCATAACTGAGCATGCTGCCTCTGACGTGGAGGGAGGGCCTCCTGCAGGCGGCTGTTTGCTTTTTGGTGAGCACACATGAATCATTCTCCTGACTTAATGTTCCTATTATTGGAGTGTTTCTAGGAGAGGAATGCTTATAGCCTTTAACTGCACCTTTTGGAGGAAGGAGAGGTGTTGGGGCAGGGCAGGGTGTTTTGCTGTGTAGTGTTGGAGTTAGCACATTAACACCCTACGAACATCAGGGTCTTTATCTCCTTGTTTTCATTTCATTGTATGTGTGAACTCTGAAGCCTTTATTCTTCAAAAGGCTGTAATCAAATGTAAGGTAGGGTTGGTCTTGAGGCCTGGTATTGTGCACCCTCAGGTCTGCTGCAGGTAGCACATACAGGACACTGAAGCTCAGACTTCAGCCAGTATTTTGTTCTGTGTGCCCTCGTGCTCTGCTTACAGTTGAGCTTGAAGCATTGTTAGCATTAGTTAATAAAAAAACTTGTATCTTACTTAGGGGAGTAAAGTTTTAGTGGAATAGTGAGCTGGGTTATTTTGGGTGTTTCTTTGTTTTTTTGTTGGATAATCATAATGACTAAATGCACATGCAAAATGCCACTGATGAAGTGTGTGGCATTGTGTATTGTCTGCACCTGATCTGTTTTAAACCTTGGATGCAGCTACATTTTAAATGGCTGTGCAGTCAAGACTTGAGTCTTGTTGGCAGAGACAAATCTTCTGAATGCTCTTAAGGGGGGTAGTGGTTGGATTCCCCCTTGATTTCTTTCCAAGCAACAGCAGGAATTGCCTTAAGACCATCTCACTAAAGCTTTACTGCACTGTATGTAGTTTGTGCTGCAAGTCGGGAGCCGTTCTTTATATTTGTCAGGTCAAAGTGGCTTTTTGTTTATGGTCTGAACAGCTAGGAATACGAACACTACTAAGCCTTGTATGCATTAACCAGAGCCACGTATCAAGCTATGCATGCCATTCTAATGTGCTCAGAAACTTCCTTGAAAAACTTCAGGTAGTCACATACCACAGAAAGTCAATCACGCTTGTTTTTGAGACACCAACAAACATCAGTGCTGGGTATCAGTTCCCTCCCTTACCCAGAGCATGGCTGTTTCAGAAGCACGTGAGAATCTGCTGTTATTCTTGCACTGGTTTGTCACCTTAATGCTAGCTTCCCAGCATTAGCAAATGCTTCAACACAAACAGCAGTGAAAGCAGCTTATGAGAACTTTGGAAAAAACAATGTTAATGGACCTTTGTACTCCCCTTCAAAATTATTGGTTATAGTTTCGTTTACTCTTTTAATTACGAAACATACTTTTGCTTGAGTATATGTTGGGTTTCCATGCAAATAAAGATATATTTTGTTATAGTTTGGAGCAGAGTTTCGACGGTTTTCTCTGGAGAGGTCCAAACCTGGGAAGTTTGAGGAGTTCTATGGATTACTGCAGCACGTGCACAAGATACCCAATGTTGATGTTCTAGTGGGATATACAGACATTCACGGAGACCTGCTGCCTATCAATAATGACGACAACTATCATAAAGCAGTTTCCACAGCCAATCCTCTACTTAGGATTTTCATTCAGAGGAAAGGTAAGCACACTTGAAGCGGGTGAATCATTTGTTTGCAGTACCGTGCTGCAGTAACAGGATGACGTGTGGAGGAAATGCCCTCTTCTACAACGTTGAATTCCATAATTATAGATCATGAAATTTATTTACAATTCTTCTCTCTTGTTTCTTCCTCAGGCAACCTATTTATGCTTTGTGCATTTTTCTTGTATTAGTTTGGTTGGATAAAATCAAGTTAAATCTCTAGCAAATGCTTCATTCTGGTTTCATTTAATTAAATGAAAATAAACGTTCAACTCAGTATTTCTAGGGTTTTATGCTCCATACGTTGGATGCGTTTCATTTAAAATTCCAGCCTTGATCAGACATGGGGAAAGACCACTACAGCATGGAAAAGAATCTGCAAGGTCTTACTACATAAAGTATTAAGTATCAGTATAAAGACTAACTTTGAATATGCTATTCTTATCACACTTTTCTAATAAAACAATCAGAAGCTTTCAAAATGACAAATTGATTGTGCAAACGAATGTAAATGCTGCTTAGTTTGTCAACTTGCTTTTTAACGATAGCGTGTTTTCTAGGTACAAGTTCAAGTTTGTCTTTTTCAGTGTCTGCTTTCATTTTGATCTGAAATCAATTTTGAAGTTGCATTTGTTCTTGTCTAGCAGACTATATCCAGTATAAGGAACTGGAGAAGGGGGTGGAATGTAGTGTTGGGACTTGAAATTGTTTTACTCCAGAGAAGCCAAGAAAAATTAATCTCTGCGTTTGTTGGTTTTCTACCTACTTGCATACAGGAGTGTGTGTGGATGCATGTATGTGCGTAAGTATGTATGTGAACGTGTGCACGCACAATTCCTGTCATAACACAGTCAACGGACCTGTTCCTTAGCTATCCTGTACAGATGCGTGCTGTTTCTGGCTGTTGCTTGTTGGCAGACATATTTTCCTTAGAAAACACTAGGGCATCAGAAGTCTTATTGACTTTCCCACTCCACAAAATGAACAAGCTCCACAACGAGCAGCCTGACACAAAAACAATATTCAAAACCAGTGTGGCTGCTTGCCAGCTGCTGTGTTTCTGACAATGTATTTGTCTTGTTGAGTGTAGTATAGCAAGGACTATATGCTTTCATCCCTGAATTGCCAAGGGGACAAACCGTTTGCTTTAATAGAATGGTGATGTAGAAGAGGTCTACGATTCCATTTAATCTCTTACTGTAGCCATATGACGGAAACAGATAAGCTACTTTGTCAGACTGGGATTATTGAGGTTACATTTTAACACCATATGTTTATAAATTGTTACTAGCATTAAACTCTTAATGCCAATTCATACTAGTGTAGCATCTTTAACACTTCATTCTTTGTATCTTTATTTAGAGAATGATGGATTATTTCTTACAATTCTGCAAGAAACTGAGAATAGAATTGATATAATATACAGAACGTGAAATAAGATTAACCCACATAAGTTTATCATGATGGGAATTGATTGGCAAGAAAAGCTTTATAGAAAGTAGTAGCTGTCATCACCTTCCCTTTGACACTAGCCTTCTGGCTGTAGAGCTTTAGGAAATAAGGAACCTAGTGAGTCCAGCACTTCCAGCGTTGTACTTTGTTCCGAGTTATTTGTGACCACTTTGATCACTTTTGTTGATTGCATTGAGGTTTAACATCATTGTCTTGCAGAACAGGGGTCTATATGATGGAAAATGTGGAAATAATTGGTTCTGTGTTTTATTTCTGATAAGTTATGTAACTAATGCTGAGCTGCAGGAGTTTGAGGTACATGTGCAGCAGTCTTACTGTTAAGGTGTGATTTAATTCATCTGCACGGCTGTGGCAGTTTATTGACTGTACCTCTAAATCTGAGAATCAAATACTTGAACAAACATTTCCTATTAGTGGGGCTGCTCTGATCTGTGCTGTTCTGAAACTACAGTGAAAAACAATTCAACTTTGTTGTGGTTTTTCTTATACTATATAAAATCAGCTGAAAGGTTCTCTATGGGTTTTCTGTTGAAAAAGTGTCTTCTTTTTGTATACACAGCAAGGATAGTTGGGAATTTAAGGTCTTTGGCAAAAAGCCACTGGGGAATGTGACAGCAGTGTGGAGGAGAAAGTTTGTATTGTCTTAAGATATGAAATTTTATTACGTTATTTTACTGGTCTAGAAGAATGCGTTATTTTTTGAAAGCTTAGTGTAAGATACATGCAGACTACAATAAAATCCAGGGTAAAGTGTTAGTCTGCATCCAAAGAACACTTCAACGGGTTGAAGTGAGAGCAACAGGGTGTTTTTGCAATTGTACTATGTGACAGTTGTGGTAACACAAGTCTAACCTAGAAATTTTGTCATGTCAGAGTAAGCATACTTTCGACTAATAATCACTTCTGACTCCCTATTTAGCAAAACTGGAAAGCTGTCTGTCCTAAGCATGTGTATGCTAGTTAATGTGGTAAGAAACCTGGAGATCTTCTAATGAAAGTATTCATCCTCAAATTTTTCTAACCATACGTACCTTTCTGTAAAATATTTATTTTTCAGTGTTAGGTCTAAATTAGAACTTGATATTGCACAAATTCAGAATGGCTATCTGTTTGCAGAAAGTAGTTGCCTATTGGAGTTTTATTCAGCAGTTTAAGAGATTAACAGGTACTGTTGACATCTGGAATTTAAATGTTAGACTGATGTATCATGATTAAATCCAGATGCATGGGAGTCGCTCTGTCTGTGAGAAAAATCTTACTGGAGATAAAATCATGGAGGGGAGACAGTCCCCACAGGCACTAAAGGGCAATTTGACATGGGGAATTTTGCATTATAAATAGATAAATAATACAGACAATAACTCAGACTATGTATTTCACTAACGTCCGTGAAGCTCACTTGTAAGAATCGTAAATTACAATATCAGTTCTGCACTATACATGGATTTATAGAGTAAAAAGTAGATTCTTGAATTAATTAATTTCTACTTATTAAAGTAGACTTCTGCTATGAGGAAGCTTTATTTTGGTGAAAAGACAAATTGGCTTTTTAGAATAATGGGGAAGATCCCAGCTGCATCGTGTCCTTTTTCTGAGAATACTGTTTTGTTATAATGTGTCACTAGATAAGACATGATTTGTTAGATCTTATTTTACAATGGTAAACTGTATTCGTACTCCACTGTAGTAAGGATTTGGGGTTTATGCAAATGTAATTCTTGAGGGGTAACTTTACATTGCCTAGCAAGCAGATCAGAAAAACACTGTAAATATGTCTTGAACTATGTTAAATTGAAACCAGATTTGGCACTTGCTGGTTGTTTTAAATTTCATGTAGTAAGCATATACAGATTGGTGCCACCTTGAGTTTGAAGTTAACAAATAATTCTATGCTATGTGGACGTTCTTCTTAACATTATCTGTAGTTAACACCTTGTCCTTTGGCTTTATGCCGAAATAGTTTGCACTGCAGCTTTAAACTGATTAGCTAGGTGCCAGAACAAAGATGCCTTTGTACTTGAGAATATTGCTTTAGAAAAGTTGTTTAGCAGTGAAGTTAAACAGTCATGCTGTTTGGATGAGATATGGAGAGATGAGTTTTTTTTTCATCAACCTTTTTCTATCTCCCCCCCTCCAAATTATACAATTTTAACTGTGTATCCTAAGGTTTGTACTGGTTTTGAATTCTTACACTGTTAAGATGAGTTACGATGCAAGAACCCAAGATTCCTCTGCTTTACAGTTTCTTAAATGTTTTGATGTACATAGCTCCCAATTTTGGGATGCTATTTCACTTCAGCAAAGTGTCATTTAACTTGAAGTATGTCTCAAAGCAAAAGTACCAGCTCAGTGTTAAGATTTCTGATAGTGTTTGTTCCGTAACAGCCTTTATATATCTTCCAATACATTTCTGTTCTTAGTTTCAGAAGCACTTTTGAGTCTCTGATGTAAGTTCTTACAGATGTACTTACATAAGATTTATTTCAAAGCCAGTCCTTTTGCTGCTACACTTCATGTTTTACAAATTTGAGAGACGTGGTTTGGACAAAAATGTAGGGCCTAATCTGCTGATAGTCATGGAAAGCCACACAGGCTGATGACTTTTTTGTGTGCTCCAAAATTGTCCTGGTCAGGGAAGGAAGCTGTGAAAAGCCACGTGCATGGTTCTAGAGCTAACTGTTGGGTAGAGCACAGAAACAGACTGTGATCATTTGCAAGAGCCAGTAAATCTTCTGGGATGCACGCAGTGTCTGTATGTTTGTGTAGCTAGCACATTCCAAACCTACCGTGTGGGCCTGGCAGCGGCAGGAGGGGGATCACGGTCTGTGGCCTGCCAGGAAGCTGGAGGAGCTTTACCAGCCCTCTGCAGGAAGCTGGGAACTTCGCTACGGTACACGTTTCTGTCATAGCTGATGTATGAAATCGCCATGTACTTTGAATCTTTGACGAGAGTGTGAATGTGTGCACTTTGAATTGAAGGAGGAAAACCAGAAAGTGAACACCTTTTAGTGTTGCAATACTTGATATGGAAGAGGAGTTGTAAGAAAAGCAATACCTAGAATGTTTTGATACTGTTTTCAAAGCAATGCCTATACTAAAGCCAGTAGAAACCTAGTGCTTCACTGGTACCAGTATTAATTGGTACCTACATACTAGCGTTGCTTTTGTCAGCATTTTATGCTCTAACCCAAAATGTTCTGCATGTACATTTTTTTCTTTTTTTTTTTTGATGAGCTTACTCTAATAAAAAAAAATATGGCCTAAGGTCTGAACAATATGGAACTAATCAGTCAGAGCACATCCAACTTAGTCAATGGCTTTATGGAGAACTTCCAAAAGAAATAGCTGGGAGTAATGCAGCACTAGATGTCTAGAAATGTGTCAATGCAAACCAAAAAGAAGCAAAGTTTTTGAAATGAGGCAAAACGATGTGTCTTGTCCATGCAGTGTCTCTCTGGTACTTGGAATATTTTTTTACTGGTCTTGCTGAATTTGCCGCTGTTTGTGCAGCATAAAAACCAGAGCTTTAGAGCATCAGAAATCTTAGTACTTAATCATGGACTGCACAGAAGTTCTTACATAGTTTTTGAAATCACTTCAATGCATACCAGCTGCTGGTGGGGGAAGGAGAAATCATGACCTAAAAATTAACCTTTGCACTCATTAACGTTGTTACTGAATTCTGACATTCAGGTCACCATTATCTATTGTTTGTCTGATAATCTTTACCTTTATTATCACTTCCTTGCTGTACTTGTGCATTACTCTGTATTTAACACCAAAAGATCTTTGAAGCAAAGCCCTTCTGTCTAATGTTATTTCACAATTGCCCTTGTTTTGTAAGCAGCTGTAGTTCCAAATAAAGTAAGGCTATTGCAACTCATTGAATTGCAAAAATCCTCACAATGTAATGACCAGATGTCTAACTTGAAACTGGTTTGATGGGTTGTCAGTAGATAAGGGCAAAGCTTCTACTCATACTTCTTTCTTTGATCATAAATTTAAAGTAAAGATTAAAAGAATTGCTCCACATTGTCTGAAGAAAATTAACATATTAGTTTTCAGCTATGGAGTGCAGGATTTTTTAATGGCTGATCTTCAGTCAGATATTCCAAAATGCATTTTACACAGGAAATTGGAAATGTGCATTTGGAGAAGTGTTTTACACTTCAGACATAGTCCACCTGTTAAGTTCTTTGGTTTGGGAGTTTGTTTTTGCGTGTGGTTGTTTTAAACAGAGCCTCTCTTCCAACACAAAACTGACTTAACACACTCAAGCATCTGAAGAACAAGTTTTAAGCTATTTCTAAAGTTCTCTTGCTTGGTGTTAGATCTGTTATTATTTTAATTTAGTCTTAAACTATACCTTTTTCTACTGAAATATTCTGCTGAGGAACAGCAGTAATTCCATGCTTTCCTGAGAGAGCCTCTTGGGTTCCCAACTAAACTAAAATTTATTTCTTGTATTCAGTCACCTAATTTAACGTGCTCAAGTGTAGCTGGTGCAGGTAGATTCTTCTGTTTGCTTTTCCCTTCTTATTTTTCCTTGTGAGACTCTTGATTAGCTTTGTTATTACATGTGCAGATCCTAAGGCAGGGAAACAGATTTCACAGAAGCTGAGTGTGTGAAGTGGGAGAGAAGCCAACATATACTTGTACGTGTGAAGTAAGAGCATTGTGGGCTGTCTGTAGTAAATTAACGCGTGGAACAGTCTGTTAGTATTGCCTTTCTTCATTTAGCAGTTTTTACAGAAGCAGTGGTCTGGATGACAAGATAGCCAAATGTGAGGAAGAACAGAAGTAAAAATTACTATGTGAGGCATCCATGTCATCTGAAAGTAGCTGAGATATACTCAGGAGTCACTTCTAAGACTAATGTATCAGAAACTTATTCAGAAGTTGCTCCCCTCTGCGTTAAGCAACTTCTCTTGTAAGGAAAGTTAAAATCTTTAAACTTTAGTTTGATACAGATGTTCAGTCCTTAGTAGATGGCTTTGCCTGTTCAGATGTGATCTGTTCCTTCAACTAAAAACTTTCATATATATATATATATATATATATATATATATATATATAAAATTTAGGCCCTCTTCAAGACATTCTTTAAACAGTTGATGAACTATTACTATTCTGTACACACAATGAGTTTATAATCACTTTATTGGTAGGCTAACTTTAAATTGTGTTATTTTGAATTCTATGTTGTAGAATTCTAAGTCCACAGTTGTCTTAAATGAACTGCATATTTTAAAAAAGCAACTCATTTTCAGTAGCCTTGATGTCAGGGAAGGAAAGAGTTAGTATTGCAAGTTGGAATAGATTATTGCTTTGGAATTACTTTCTCTGTTCTTTTTTGGTTAAGCCATCTGAAGTGAAAAGTCCAAGTACAGCTGGCACATGCACTCATATCTTCATCTTAGTATGGGGGGGGTGGGGGGGAAGTCTTCTGGTTTACAGACTCATGCTGTACTTCATCAACAATTGAACAGTTCTCCTGAAATTTCACACTAGGATAAGCATTCCCATAGTTATTTCAATCCACAGATTAAAATGTAAAGCTATTCTTTTATTTCTGTGGCCATACCAATGGCATCATAATGTGATGTTACAAAGAAATCCTCCATTCTGAGTCCCAGGGTTAGTGCAAACTACTTCTGCTTTATTTTAATCCACTGCAGAAAAGTCTATGCAACATCACAGCGATACCAGTGTAGATCCAAAGGAATTTGGATCTGAATGCATTTCAGTTCATCGTTTTTGGAGTATACTTAATGAAAGCTTCCTTTGGCACATAGGCATTTTGGACATCAGATTATTTCTGCAAAACCTGTTTTTTCCTGTTAAAGATGTTTGACTTGCATGTGTTTTTTTAAAGACAGTCTAAGCCATTTGTACACTTCTGTACCAAATCGTGGCAGTATTGTTTGTTTGAACAATCTTGCTTGAAATGTGTGTGTGTGTAAGGTCCCTTTGTTCCTGCTCCGCAGCCATTTTACCTACATTGCACAGGGGGGCAGGGAAAGGAGCGCAGAATGGAATAAGCTTTCTGGAGTTTGAATCCAGGTCACTTGGCCAGCTTCCAGGAGCTAGGCAATAATAGGCACGCTGGCTGCTTTCCCTTTTTCATTCTTTCTTTTCCAATGATCTGAAACTTGAGGAGAGAAAACTAGCAAGTGGAATTACTCTGAATAAAATTAAAGCGTTTCTAGGAATGTACTCGTTCTTTCCATTCTAACCTTTCTCGAGCAGCTAGAATATAATTCTTTGTCTCTACTACTGCTGACTTCCTTTAATTTTTTGGGGTACTGTTTTTCCTTTGGTAGTAGGAAACAGAAACCATTACAAACGTTGATGAATCCCATAACATTAAAGCTCTTGTTTCAAGTATAGAGAGATGTTTCTACTATAGCAAGCCTTAAACCTTCTAGGCTGGGCGTTTCATTCTGTTAACCTAAAACATGATAGCAATGCCATATGGACCATATATAAAGTGACCTAATCATGCATGTGCTATGTCTTACAGAAGATGCAGACTACAGTGCCTTTGGTACCGATACTATGACAAGGAAGAAAAATGTCTTATCAAATGTGTTACGTCCAGATAACCACAAGAAGAAGCCACACATTGTCATTAGCATGCCGCAAGACTTCAGACCGGTGTCTTCTATTATAGACGTAGATATCCTTCCAGAAACCCATCGCAGGGTACGGCTTTACAAGTATGGAACTGACAAACCCCTGGGATTCTATATACGAGATGGCTCTAGTGTCAGAGTAACACCCCATGGATTAGAGAAAGTTCCGGGGATTTTCATATCCAGGCTTGTCCCTGGAGGTCTGGCTCAAAGCACAGGCTTGCTGGCTGTCAATGATGAAGTACTGGAGGTGAATGGAATAGAAGTTTCAGGAAAAAGCCTTGATCAGGTTACAGACATGATGATTGCAAACAGCCGTAACTTGATCATTACGGTAAGACCAGCAAACCAGAGAAATAACGTTGTGAGGAACAGTCGGACTTCTGGCAGCTCTGGTCAGTCTACTGAATCTAGCCTTCCAAGTAGCACACCAAATATTTTAGCAAATTTCTTGCAAGGAGAAGAAGAGAGCGATGAAGAGGACATTGTTATTGAAGACAGTGGCGAGCCACAGCAGATTCCAAAAGCTGCACCTACCAGCGAAAGCATAGAATCGTTGACGCAAATTGAACTCCATGAGTCAACACAAAACGGCTTCCTTCCTTCCAGCGAGATGAACTTGAATCATTCAGCAGGCAGCATTAGCATGGAATATGAAGTACAAGATCCAGATCATAAATCATTAGAAGATGGAACTATAATAACGCTATGAAATTACATTGGTGTACTTTGTACTTAGCAAGGATGCCATACATGTTTTGATTTGGTTTAATATGTAATATGTTTTATACCTCTCCATCTACTGAGCACTGCAGTTAGATTAAAAGGAGAAAAAAGTAAATATGAGACATTCAAAATGATATAAGTTGACTAACTTCAGTTAATTCTGCACTTCCATGTAAATACTTCACAAAGATAACAGTTAGTTCATAACTGACTGAAATTGGATGAGGAAAATTTAAACTGAAAATGAAGGATAGTTAAGAGATGGCTGTGAGCTTTCTTTTAAAGGTACTTGATTTTTTTTTTTTTTTTTATGTGAAATACTACTGGTTCTGTAGAAGCAAACTTCCATTATTGTGTGAGGTCGATTATCTAATGTGCTGTGGTTTCATGTTCAACTGAAGTGCTGCTTACGTACGGTGGTGCTGCTTTAGCCACTTCATTCCTGTTCTGGTCTGCTGTTTTGCTGGTAGGGCTGTTTGTGTGGCTCTGCGTACGAGGAAACAAAAATAATTCTTAGTTGGTCAAACTCCCTGATTTGTTGAGCAACAGTGGTAGGTGACAGGGGTCAGCACACTGACAACAGTCAGGGCTTGGAGGTGGGGGCTTCTGAAGTTGTGTCCCTTTGTAAATGAATGTGCAACCACAGGCTCATTAGTCAGGCACCTTTACTGTTTTTAATTTGCCTTTTATGGCCATGTTAACTTACTTTTAATGACACTACGATTTTTGAACTCAAATGTGAAAGTCTTAATACTTCTGTATCTCAAAGACCTGTTCTCATTTTAGTTTGCAATACTTAAGGATATCATTGGATTTAGTTGCTAATCCCAGTAAATTTTAAAGAATTCAGATGTAAACATAATGCTATGGAAATAACATACTATGTAATCTATGTTAAAATCAGTCCTAGTAGAAGCTGTAAAGATTTCTACTAGCAAAAGTTTGTTGTAGTGAATCAAATGTGAAAAGTCACTTTTTTCAAACCTAAATGATTCAGAGCAGTTTAAATTGACTTAAGTTCCTTGATTAAAAAGAAAAAAAGCTTGAAGTCAGGATGAGGCTTTAATAGAACTTGAGCTGTTATTAAAACTATTTGTTTTAATTAACTTAACCATAAATACTGATCTTCCTGTGCACCGCTGATTGGGTGTTTTGAATCTTACAAAGTTGCTGTATTTAAAGCAAAATACCGATGACAAGTCCTGATACTGCAAATGTACAAGCAAGCATGCACATAATCAGCTGCAAATTTACTAGGACAACTGTAAGGAAAGGTTTCTACAATACTCTCTCCACATTTGAGATCTCCCCTTTCACCACTTGGCACTGTTCCCTACCTGATCCTATGGTGGGAACATAAGTTGTTGCAGGAAAATGAGATAGGAACAAATAGGGTTGAGGAGAAGGATGCATGGAGCTTCTCAGCAGGGATCTAGCAGTCTAGGCTAGCCTCTGAGAGAGGTAGGATGCGGCCAGTTCTTGTACTGTGCTTACCAGAGCCAGTACTTCGGGTTTTTGCACGCATGTTCTGCCCTGCGGGGAGATGTAATAAGCAGGAAAGGAGGCTAATCCTGTTCTTTTTCCTCAGTCTATCTTGGGGAAACATCTACCTCTGGTAATTCTACTAAATGAGAGTAATGTTAAGGCACCTGTAAAAGGCTTCAGAGCACATCAGAGGGTAAAACTCCATTTGTTTAAGCTCTTTGTAATTATACAAACAAAATTGCTACAGGTATTAGTGATGTTTAATTTTGAATTAATAATCTCAAGTATTTTCAAGCCTTCAATAACATTGGAGTTTGAGTCTCATAGATGTCAAGGAAGGCTTTGTTAATGCCCCTTTTGCTTTACGGAGAGTTGGCATAACAGGCAAGGGCATGCATTGCGAGTGCAGGTTAGGGTGGTTTTGTTGGATTGATTTATGGCTTCCTTAGTATGCATTTGGAGAGGCCCTGGAATGTTTTCCCACAAGACCAAGAATTTAAGTGTTTTACTTATATTGCTAATTATTAAAATGAAGTTACTACATCCACTTAGTGTGAAATGGGAAAAATAAATGGTTCTGCAATGTGTACGTCTTAAATATGCATATTTTCTGTCAGTGCTGCTCTACACTTCCTTTATTGAAGGAAGATTGTTTACTTTAAGATATCTTTTTTTTTCCTTTATCAGAAGACTTTCCTGTATGAAATCATCAGCCAATGGTGACTTTCATTTATTATGCTAGTTTGCACTTCTGTGCCTTTTGTTTACTTGAATGTATTGTGAATTATCGAAGGAATAAAGGCACGTGGATGAGAAGAGAATGAGGTCCACAGATACAGAAGATGAACTGGTAGTGCACTTACTTCAGATGTAATGGTTTCATTTGGTGGAAATACATTCTGGGTCTACTGTGGTACTTCAGTATTTTGCAGCTTAGGTGCAAGGTGAGCTTAAACAGGGGGGTTGAGTCTGAGACTGCTAATGTTACAAGGCAATTCATTGCTCAAGTACAAACACCCAAAGTGAGTGTGCTACCAAACTCTTGTGTTACCTAATTTGTGCTTTTAACAGATGCATGAATATTTTGCATATATATGCCAGTATTAAGGACTTGTAGAAATGTAACTAGGGTCCCACTATAAATTGCATGAGGATTCACCTCGTAGGACCTTTCCTGCAAACTGATTGATTGATCTCTAAATACATGCAATGATATTTTTTAACAAATAATGTTCTATTTTACAGAAATTCGATAACATATATAGTAAAACTAAGCATTTGGAACTTGATTAAAAAATAAAAATTAAACCTTAAAAATGTTTTTTTAGTGTATTTAGTTACAATGACAGACTGCACAGCATATAATCACTTAATGCTGCAGTGACCATGAAATTTGTAAAGTTCTTCCATATCTTACTAATGCATACACTATAATGAAATACTTTTAAATAGTTACTTCAGGATGATCAATGGTTGATTATGAATGGCTAAATTTTATATATAAACGGTACTGGGGCTCAGTATAGGGTTTTGAAAATATGCTGATATCGTTAGCCTTTCATTCACTACCTCCTATATTTTTAACATCTTTACAATTTTCTCCTTGGAAGAAAATGCTTAAAGGCTTGACTGTTTTTATACAAATTTTTATCTTTAGCTATAAAAAAAAATCCAGAAGTGATAGTGCGGTTGCTATGCATGATTGACAATATTAAGCTGCTATTAATGTTAATCTTTGTGTATTACGTATCATATATATGTAAATTGTATTTTCAATCCAGATTTTATAAATTAATTTATAAATATCCAAATTATTTCAAAAATGGAGTGGAAAACTAAAATTCCTCTGAGTAGTGTTATATGTTGTGTACATGCATGGGGGAAGTTGTTCCTTTCTTGCGACTGGGAGGTTTAAGTGCACCTTAATAGGAAAGAGTAAATTCTTCATAGAATTAAGATGCATTTACTTTGAAGTTCTGCTAAGGTACTGGATAAGTCAAGCCTAACTGTGAATCATATGTTTTTCCACAGCTGAATTAAATTTAGGACAATGTTCTCACAAGCTGTCTTTAACATGTGTATTTTTGTGAATATTATGTATTTTCTAATTAAATTTTCCTTGCAATGTGATTTTTACATGAATGAACTTGTTTAAAATGTCAAATATCAGTATTTTTCTTACAACTTCAATGTATAATGTACATTGGTATCTCACTGAATGAAGATTGATTTTACAAAATCAAGCTAGCTGTAGTAGTTGTATATTAGTCTTATATTTTTACAGACTGGAATAATAAACAGATATAGAAATGAAATATTTTTTTTCTCAATTACTCTTAGGTAAAAATGAGGAAGAATGCATCTCTTGCTTATTCTGAAGTGTGAATCTAGTTGGGCTTGAGTTTTCTCTTGGGCAGCTAAGTGGGTTCTGTTTTCATAGTAGCCTTAAATGTTTGCTTCCTCTGCTCCTTCCTCCCTTCCTCTGAAACAAATCTTTACATGTGGAAATGATGCAAGAGTTCAAGAAACTTGTCCCTCAGTCCCGTTGTCTGACCTGTGATGTGCTCATTCCTACAGTAGCTGCAAATAATCGATCTTGCATTGTATCACTTGCCTGACGACTGCTTGCAGTAAAGTTTAGGACATGAAACTAGAAGAAGGTTCTTCATCCTCCTTCACCATTTGCTGCTGGCAATTTGGAGGCTTTCACTGTTACTGTAAGTATGTTATAACTCTTGCAGCTTTTTAATTTGTACTCGATCCACTTACAAATATTTTGTCCCATATCTAACGCATTGGCAGCCCTTGTAAACATTTACCTAGCTACAAAACACTTCAGTTTCTTTAGTCCTTTTGTGTAAAGCTTTTGTGCCTGCTGGTCTCAGGCCCAACCATATGACTTCTATCCTGTACCTTCCTTTATACGTGTATGACTGTAGCTTCAGTTGTATGAACAGTACTGTACAAACTTGCCTATGAGGTAGCCATGGGAGGTGACAAAGTCTGCAAACAGTACTACTGTGTCTTAATAGTGATATGCAGCTGAAAGAATCCAGTTACTTTATCATGTATTTGATTTTGAATGCCTTTTGTCTGGATTTCCTTGTGCAGAACCTGACAGCTCACCCCTTTCTTAAAGGAATGCTGAAGTTAGCAAGATGTTCTTGAAACAGTGTCAGATTTAAAAATTCATCCTGTGTGAAAATTCTGGTGTGGTAGCAATTATCTGCATTTTAGGATTTTCTTTCTGTGTAACAGAAGTGGGTAGCAGGGGACTGGTCAGCCTGAAAAATATCATATAATTCAAAAGGCAATAAACCTGTGTGTAAATAGTTTTGTATGAGGAAATAAAATACCATCAGGTAGATTGAAAAAGTGCAATGAAATACAATTTCCACATCTTAGTAACTTTGAGTTACTTGATTCGTAGCAAATTTTTTCTCCCTAGAGGTCAAAAATATGTTGAGACTATATGAAACAATTTCATATAAGGTGTGGTTTCACAGAATAAGTCTGGTGTTGACGTAAGCTCTCTGCAAATGTACTTGCTACGATGCTCTTTGGCTTGCTTGAAACTGATGCTAAATGCAGGTACTACTTTTACAGAGGTAGGAAGTGCTCTTACCAGCAAGGGAACGGATTCTATGGCTAGGCCATTAATACCCATTAATGCTTCTGTGCCATCTAGCAAGCTTCCATGTCTGAGAGAATTTGTCTTCAGTAAAATCCACCAAGAATCAATGGCATGAGGTTATTGCAGCAACGAAGACTAAGGGATGTGTCTGCAGGAATGCATAGGAGGTATGTATCCATGAGGATATAAAGCCTGATAAGATCTTTTTAAGTAGTCCAGCCTTCTCTTGTCCAAATGTTAATATTGACCTGGACTGAATCTGTAGGGGAGACACAGTACGGAAGCTATTTAGGGACACTTAAAATGAATGAGAACGAAATGTATACTTGTACAAATGAGCAATGCTATTTCTACAAGTCACTGCAATCCCTACAGGTTGTTTTCCTAAACTAATTGTAAAAGGAAGACTACCTTTACCTGCTGCTGCCTCCTTGAGGAAGAACTGTAACTGTAAAATATCATACAATAAAACATGAGAACAATATTTGAGGAAAAACTACTTTTCAAGATCACAAGTTTGTTTTCTGTGACAGCAGCCAGTCTATCTAGCCATTAGCTGCCCAAAAAAGTCTTCACTCAGTGCACAATCAGATAGGTAAATGCATTCTGCCCTAAATATGAGAAAACAAAACTGGAGACAGGTCTCCTCACACTCATCCATAAAATTCAACCAAGAAGTATCAGCATTTCTCACAAAGTGGGTCTTTAACTGGGACCTCATCTCTGCACTTGTACCCAGGTTGTATGTAAGCAAAAAGTAAAAGAAACAAGTTACAGCCACTATATCAGTCAAACATTTACTCTATTTTGTGAGTTTATTGGTGCAAATATTTTTCCTGTGAGTGGCGTTTATCTTTTCACCTTATACAGAGGGTGAGGTTCTTATCTTAACTCTCAAGCCAAAGGAGAAATACTTTGTTCTAAACTCTCAAGATTGTTTCTTACCCAGTCTGTCCTTTAAATACCAACAGCATTTAACTTTTCTCAAGGTGATAAGCTCTTAATGAGGTGTTACAACTTCAGTTATTTTATGAAATTCAAAATTAATGTATGGTTGCAGATAGACTTGCTTGAATTTTCAAAAGGAATAAATTAATACACACATGGTATCAATACAGGAGAAAGATTTAGATTAGTGCTAAATAATAACCCCTTTGAAGTTTTCTTGTTATTTTGAGATTAGCTGTGGCTAAAACTCAAGTTTTAGACTTGACAGAATTACTTCTGATGGATATGGTTGTTGTATGCAACAAGAATCATGCTTATGCTTTGAGGTAGCTTCATAAACAGCTTCCAATACTAACATGCTGAAAAATATGCGTTGGATGGTAACAGTATTGTTCTTGGATGCTGTAGAAGTATGCAAGAAATGTTACAGCTGGTTCTTGGAGAGGTGAGATCATAGCCGAGACTTAAGAATTCAGACTCCTTGTGCAGCTATGACAGATCAGTTGTGTACTTTCCTTGTCAAATGGGAGATAAACGTCTCTCCGAGGACTTAGTGTAGTATGCTTGATTTTTAAAAGTGCTTTGGAAATATGAAGCGTGAAGTGACTTGAGGAAGTATTTTCTATTTTACCAGCATTTCTTGTTACAGCCATTTAGAAGTGTTGCTAATAAGATATAATTTCCTGTTCTTCCAATTAACATTCCTTTCCACTTGAACTACTACTTTATTACCTGAAAGTATAAGGAAATACCTTGCATTTCATCAGTGTGAGAGATTTATGCTGGGCTCTGTGTTACATTTAAAGTATTTAAGTGCATATTTATTACCACCCATGTTTCCGTTCTAGAGGAGAATATGGTTCTTCCTCTGTAGTGCAATGAGTTTTTTTCAGAATGCTTTCTTTGAGCACCTGGTGTAATACCCAGTTACTGATAAGACTATTTTTCTTTTTGTATATAGTCACAGATGCATTGGCAGTGCTCAGAAGCATGCAATAGAGCTCGAGGGACAGATGAGAATAGATGATGTGATGAGAGCTAGTGAAGGTAGGGACGTCATCCAGTCCGGGGGTTCGTACTTGAATAAAAACATCCTATTGGTGTGGCTAAAACAGATGAATTTGTCTCATAATCTGGCATGCCTAAAGAAGTTCTTAAAAAATAAGCAGCCTAGTTTTTCACAGCTGCAAGACAAAATGGGAGAGAAGATGAAACAGCAGAAAGCAAATAAGAGATGCTAATACATGTAAAGGATGTCCCAACATACTGCAGAGAGGAATACTGAAGTTGCAATAGCTATTTTTTTTTTCTATTATTAGACTGACAGCTTAATGTAAGAGATACTATCTCTATTTGCAAGCCTTGCCTCTTGTTTTAGACTCATGGCTGTAACATTGTTACCTCTATGGACAAGAAGGGTATTCCTGTCATGAGACACTGGATTTTTCAGTGGTTTCCATTTTTTTTCCATTTTATTTCTTTGCTATTATTCTAGATAGTGCAAACCCAGTTAAAAAAATAAAAATTGTTCTTATCTTTCTGTTGGAAGATGCAAAGGATTTGGAAGCTTTATGCTGAGGAGAAAGCACTGAATATATAAACAGGTTATTGTGCCTTTCTGAATACTACATGAGGTTACATAAATGGTTTGAACTTTAAAGTTCAGAAATTTTAAATCATAGTAGCTTAAATCTAACAACATCCTTCATACTTTTTCTGTAAAACAAAGTAGGTATCTTTTTGCAAACTTAAAGTAAATGGGATAAAATTAAATGCAAAAATTACTTGCAAAAGACAATCTGGGCATTTTATTAAATATTGAAATGCTATTTACTGTCTTTCAAAAATATTTCAGATGGTTACTAAGTGGAGCTGTATAATGTAGAAAAAATAAGATTCCTTGAGTAATCATGCAAAGTTGGTAGCTTGAAAAAAATGTCAGTAATTCAACATGTGACCTTCCCTGTATTTTGACTATATTTAAACTGATACTTTACTTGTTAGGATAGTGAATATAAATATTTATCCCAATCTTACAGGTAAGACAAAGGTCATGAAGCCATTTGGTCAAAGCAGCAGAAATGCATTGTCTATCTTGTTCTTTTTAGCACTGTTTTCTTGAGAGATTTAGCAGTGTCGTAAAGCTCATGTGGATGATATAGTTTATATAGAATAATCAGGAGGAATCTCATTTAGTGGTATTCTTTTCCGGGCATCTAAAATAAATGTTGACTAGCTGTGTGTTTAAACTTAAATCCAGAACTGCTAAGTGCAGTAAAGGAAGCAACTGATGTAAGAACTATAACAGTTATAGCAGAACTTTAACTGTAAAGGCTTCCTACTGTAAATGCGTGTTCAGTATTATTACATAACTGCAGCAGTGGGCTTTTTCTAATATGGGAATATTTCTTGTCTAGCAGATCTTGTTAAGTCTTTTCTTGACACTCCCATGACTCTGGTTCTAAACATACCACTTCACATGCTTTCTCCTATTTGAGATAACTTAGTTTCGTAACAGTTAATCTGTGATGTACAACAGAAGCCAGAACTATTTCATTCTGGTCTTAAAGCTTCCCAAGTATGCTTTCCAGATCACACTGGAGTTTAATCTAGTGCACCTTTCAAACATACACAGTACAGACCCCTGGGGACTACAGCATAAATGGTAAAGGAGTGGCTGAGCAGAGAACAGGACTGTGTTGTTAAGGAGTGCAAATACATAGCAAGAAGTCTGCCCAGACCTGGGGAGTTCACAATTGAAACAAAGGAAACAAAAGAGTGTTTGGAGATTTACGCCCAGAGATGCAATGTGTTTTCTCTCTATGCAGTGCTGGTCAGTGGAAGATCAGGTTCTGCAAATACCTTACGATTTTTCAGATAAGTGCTTTTTAAGTTGCAAGTGAAGCATAGAAGGGTCTGTCTGGTGCTATTGTCAGGAATGACATCGGGTAGATTCAAATCAATGGGGCTGTTCCTACTCAAAAAATGATCTTGTGGAGAAACCCTGCAAACTGGTAGCTCTTTTTTCTGTTTCTTCAAGTACCTCTTCAAGCCTGATTTCTTTGATCTTCACAGCAAACCACAGGCTATAAATCTGGCATTTCTTTATGAATGCTGAAGTGAATTTAAATTTCTTCCATTATTCAGCAATAATATGGTGTTGCCCAAAGCCAAGAAAAGCTTTGGATGACAATGCAGGCCTGTTGTCTTTGGCTCTGCAAGCACTGAAAAGTAGTTTTATATAGTATTCTTACAGTATTTAGTATTTATATAGTATTTTTAATAGTAATTCACAATGAGATTAATGCTCTGGTGTCTGGTTAGTGCTCTAGTTTCTTCAGGGAAGTGGATGACATTTTATCTGGCTTTGCTCAGGTTTGCTCTCCACAGCGTCTAACAGATTTCCCTCTCTCGGGGCTGTGGCTGTCTGCAGATGGACTCCAGTTAGACATCGCAAGCCAGTCAGTGTGAACTCCTGCATGCTGCTTTGTCTCTGCTGCCACAGAGTCCCCTTGACCCTAGTATAAATGCCCCATACAGGCTGAGTGGCCCAGGCACCTTTCAAGGGCGGGCTGCTGCTGACCCCTTGCAGCTGAGAGGATTTCTCAGTGAGCACTCTCCCTGCTCCAGGCAGTGCTCCTTGAGGCACATTACTCAGCAGGTAGGGCAGGAAGAACAGCTACCATGAACAGATGGCCCTTTCTGTCTCTGTTCGATCTGCCATCTTGATCATCTGTCTTTGTCTAAAATGCTGCTTTGGTTTCAGATTGGAGTGTAAAGGAGCCTAACGCAGAAGAATCCGGAAGGTTGCAGAAGTTTCCACAGCGTGCCTCCTGCAGCTCTGTCTGTGGGGAGGGTGCCAGGAGCTTTCGGCAGCTTGGGTGTGGGGTCAGGGTCTGGGCTCTGCTCTGCCTCACAGAAACCAGGCTGCAGGCTGTTTAAATTCTCATTTGCACGCAGGGAAGCGCATGGCACAGAGCGATTATGAGCACTTAAAAGCTGTGCTGCCAGCTGCAGCCGCCTTTAATATCCAAGTGAGTCAAAAGGCAGCACTGAGTCCAGCACCTGATCTCTGAGTATCTAACCTCCCCTCTAGCCTGCAGTGCGGGCTTGTGGAAGCACATCACTAGAAAAAGAAATTTGTTTTTTAAGTGTGGCATGGGAGAAGCTGTGCCTGACGAAGCGCTGCTCCGTGACCGAAGCGGTACGGCTGTAACCAAGTCCTTTAAACCAGCCCTGAGGCCCCCTCTCCTCACAGAGCCCCCCGCGGGGGGGGGGGGGGCGCTGGGCGGGTGTCCCACCCCCCCTCCTACCCGCCGCGCCCCCGCCCGCCGCCGCTGGGTGGCGCGCGCGACCCGCTGAGGGGAGGCGAGGCGGCGGGCAGGCCCCGCCGGGGGCCGTGAGGCGGAGCGGCGGCCGGGGGCGGAGCGGGGGCTGCCGGCTGCTCGGCCGGGGCCCGGCGAGGCGATGCTGCGGCCGGGGACACCGCCGGAGCCCCGGGCGGGGGCTGAGGACAGCGAGGTAGGAAGGGGGAGGTGGGGGCTGGCGGTGGTGGTGGTGGTCGGGGGGCTCCGGGTGCCGGGATGAGGTGAGGCGGGAGCGCTCGCCCGGCCCCGGCTGCCCTCTGAGGGAGCTCCCGGGGCGCCTCCGGGCTGCGGGGGTCGGCACCGAGCCCCCCTCCCTGCTGCTGCTCCGGAGCCTTTGTGCCCTTCGTGCTTTTGGTTGGGGGCTTTAGAGGGTTTCGGTGTGGTTTCGTGGTTTTTGGAGACAGGGAGTGTTTGCTGAAGGAGGGCCTGGTTGTCAGGGGTCTCCTGTGTCGGGGATGCGGTGCTGGGGCAAGTTGAGCAGCAGCTGGGCTCCTGGAGAGCCGAATAAGTGATTTTCATGCTTTTTGTTTGTTTGTTTTTGAACGCAGATGGATGTGGCTGCTACTCTGTCATTTGTTTTTGTGGAAACCGAGTCCTCTGGCGGCTAAGGTCGGGATCAGAGCGCTGCTGTGATGGAGTGGAAGGATGCTTAGCTTGAGGAGCTTAGGTGCGGGTGGTCCCCTCTGGGACACGGTGGTGACAGTGGTGATTGCTTACAGCACCCTCACCGTGCTGGTAAGGCGTGCAGGGAGCGTTTCAGATCCCAAAGAGAGGAAGGTTCTGAAATTGCACTTGGTAGGTCATGTTCCCCTAGAAAAGAGAGGAAATCTATGAAAACAGAAAATAGAGAGCATTTGCAAGTATCTCCCTTTCTGACCTGCAGGTAACTCCTATCTCACATGAGTCTGGAGATGCTGTGAGGTGACATTCTCTTTGGGCACATTAGTTTACAATTTTCTCTTGTAAGGAGAAAAAAACACTAAAATTACTGTCTTCAAAACAGCTTTTTTTCTCCCTTTTCTTCACTTTGGCAGTGGGTTTTATATTTGTCTCCAGGAAAAAAAAAAAGGGGGGGAAATTTTTCCTCAGTTTCACTGTCCTGAGTATTTTCCACATTTCTCTGCCTTTACATCGTTACTCCATCAATTTCATTTTTCCAAATGTGGCTATATGCGCTTTGCAATAAATCAGACCAGTTACATACAAATTTTGGAATCACTGTTCTGTTTTTTATGTTCAGTATTTTCAGGGAGGTGATATAATGCTTAGTCTATGATATCCACGTAATTTTCATGTGGTTAAACCACTGACAGCTTTTGTCTTACATCTGGATTCAGATCCACTCCAGTAATCGTCCAGGCATCTATAGTAGGCTGGAAAGAAGTACTGCTAATGTTATTAACAATTACAAAAGCGAATTTCCCAGCTTGGTTAAGATGACATTGCAGAGTGAACTGCTGCGTAGGGAAGAAGTTTCACTGAAGTATTAGTTCATGTCAGCTGTTTGGATTCTGTTTTTGTTTTTTTCAAGTACCACTCAAGCTGGTGTTAAATAAAGAGGACCTGCCAATTAATAAAAACAAGCTTCGTGTATAGAGTTGTATGGCAGATAGTGTGTTTTTGTAACTGAGTGCCAAGCTGTTAGTTCATTAGGGAACACAAAAACTACCTGTGCTCTTTGCTACTTGCAAGTCATTCTGTTTCCTTCAGGCATCTTCTGCTGCTATTAAGCACTCGTTTTAATGCTGATCTTTCTTGATCCTTGCACATATTGGTAGTTTGTTCAGAGCAGTGATATAATTAAGGTATTTTCCTACGCAGGGATTAATCATAGCTTTCATGGCATGTTCTTAAGTGTTTCTTCCTGTGGGCCTTGTCGTGCTAGCTCAGCTTTATTGTGTATCACAAACAGTATTGCTGAAATCACAATGAAGGCTGTCGGTTCCTTTTCATACAGAGTTGCTGTAGTTTAGCTTTTTATTATTATTATTTTGTAATTAGAAATTACCTCTAGTATATAATTCCTAGTTTTCATTATGATTTTTAAATTTTGTGTAACAGTTGTAGCAAATAAAACTATGGTAATGATGGAATTCAAAATAAGGTATTTGTGGACTCGAGTGGAAGATTTGACTAAATGAAGGCTTTCAAGACTGCTGCATGGCATATTATCCTACCTGATATGAAGATACCCTGCAAATTGTTGTGAAAGACTTATAGTTTCATTCCTGAAATGCACTTGCAATTCTGCTCTTGTTTTCCTTTTATGCATTGATTGTTTTTTCAGTATTCTGAAGTTGGCATAGGAGGACATCGTACTGAAGAACCTGATAACTTTCAGCAATATTGAAACGTACCTTCCTGGTTGAGTTTGTGATGCTATAAAGAGCAGTGTGATTCTCTGGCTTGGCTATTTTTGGTTTTCTGTGCCTACCTTTTCATCTTAATGACATGCTAGGAGAGCACTTCGAGTTCTGACAAAGGCAGCTTAACATTGTGATTGAAAGTGGAAGACTTTTTTGGAAAACTTTGTAGAAGGGATTTAATGCTGATTTTTTTTTTAAATGTTCTATAATGAATAAGTTACAATGTTATATTCACATATCACAGGAATGAAGGATTGATGGTATACAATACCTGACCCAAATGTTTGTATAAAGGAACAATCTAGAAATGAAAAAATAAATACATGTATCCTGGGGCAAAGCAAATAAATAGTTTCAAGGGTGCATGGGAGCATAATACTCAGGTTGAGGTGAAGTGAAAGTAGCACTGGGGGGAGTTACATAAGCTTCTCTATGCCAAGCCCTAGATAAGATAGGGAAGAGATTACATGCCTTTGTTCCTCAACAGCAAAGGGAAGTGGTGAGGAGCAGATTTTACTATGGGTACAGTATATAATACATAAAAGTCTGAAAAGAAAGCTAACCTCAAAGCTAGACTGCATGTGTTTCCCCTCTTAAGTTACAAAAAAAGTCATGGTTTTAATTATTTTTTTGTTTTCTTTCCATGAATAAACAGGAGAATCAACAGTGGATAGAAGGGAACATTAAAATGCCATCTGGAAGTGGTGCTGTTGTGCCTTTGGCTAAGGTTTTGGGATACGTTCAAACGTCACTGCTCCCCTCACTACCTATTTTCTTTGTCAGTACTAGCCTTGGTGTGGCTCTGTTATGAATTGAGTTGAACTGATCTGAGTTAACGTGATTTGGCAAAGAAATTAATGGTTAATTTTCAACCCAGAATAGCTTTCTGATTCATTCTGCTGAGAATGTTTCTCCTCTCGCATGGAAAGTGTTGACTTTAGGGGCATAAGTGAGTGATGGAAGAGGATAAACTATTTTTATCATCGATGTCAGCTTATATAATTTTTAAAGTGATTGTGAAATTACTGTCTTAACTAAGGAGGACTTGGCACCCCATGTTTTCATCATAACTTTGAAATTTATTTAATGGGCTTTGTTTCAGATCTTAGTGATAAATATACAATAATTCCTAGAATCACCTGCAAGGAACTCCTATGGTCTGTTTAGTAAGCACCTAATTGAAGATAATTGTAAATGTGTTGCTTACACTGATTTGCAGCAGGTCCCTTTTAACCATTTCTGAAGGTGTTGTAAACGTTCTGAGCCCCTAATAATGTTGTTTTCCTCTCTTGCAATTGATAAGTAACTGCTAATTGTTTGGGGCCAAGTTTTTTGTTTTTTTGGGGTTTTTTTTTTAGACATAATTTTGGCTTTTTTTCTTGCCTACTGTGGTCTTGTAGTAGCATGCCTTGAAGAAATAGTGTTAAGGTTTGTTTGTATCTATTTTCTATTGTTTTGTATTATTGTTCTGTTATGTTTCAGGCTGTGTAACACTTAGAGTGAAGATTAAGGACTGTGAATCTGTTTGGAATTGGCTCAATCTTATTCTTGGTGGTGTCAATAAACTTTGCTTCTGCCCTTAAACACATGATATTCCGCTGTTTGAATCTTTATGCACATTACAAATGCAAGGTGCTCATGGTGGGTATTCAGCAGTGATATATTTAGCTAGTAACAGCAAGCTACCTACCTGACCTGAAGTGGGTCTGCATGTTTAGGCAGAGCAGGACAGTAGCCTGTACAGCCAATGCAACTTCTTTACTTGGATGTTTCTTTAATGCATCCCCTACTAAATCAGTGGAATTTCCACTTGCTTTGCAGTTATGCAGTTCATGATAGCTACCATCGGACAGCCTTTTCAAAGCTGTAAGTCTGGTATCGGCTCTGGCCTATCTCTTTAAGCCAACTGTGCTAGCCCTGAACATGTGGCTGTGTGAGTGGCTTCAGGCCTGTGAAGCTGACTGCCAAGAAATGTCTGAGTTTGATAGAGTTGTTCTGTAGGCCATCTGATGCACGCACCACCCACTGCGATTGCTCTGCTGTAAAATATACTTAACAAAAACGCTACCAATTTGTTTCTCTGCCTTATGAAGACTTCAAGAAATCAGACTTTCAGATGCAAGGCTTCCAGGTTTTTTTCCACAAACTAAATGTGTCTTTCAGCAACATAAAGTCAGCGAGAACTCTTTCTTATGTGAAAAGAATGCATATTTCTGCTGTTTAGCAGTGATCTTTCCAGAGCTAGTCTGTGTGTAGTGGGGTGGTGCGCTTTTCTTTTTGAGGAGAAATTAGATGTGGAAATTCTGGTCCTTTATTTAAGTATGCAAAGGAGCAGCAGAAGGAAAACAGCTTTTCCATACAGAAATCTTTACTTCAGACAGACACGGAACAGATTGTTAGGGGATGTAAACTCATGTTAGCACTACTGAAATGTATGCACTGATTTACAGCATCCATGGATCTCTTCTGATAAACCTGTGGAGTGTAATGTGTCTTGAGGTTTCTTCTGTCCAGATGTGTACACAAAGCTTGGGAAACTTTTCATTCACAATGTAATGTCACTTATACAAGATTTAGTTTGATAGCTTATACCACCATGGTGATTTCACATAGAGTTCACACAAGACACTGGCAGCTCAGGAAAAAACCTCAGCAGGCCACCAGGTGTGGTCACTAAGCTGACACAAAACAGCTTCTAAGAGTTTCTCTGAGACAATACACACAAGCTTAGCTTAATGCTGGTCTAAGATAGTTGCACAGCTTTTGGGCCAAGTTGGGTCACGTTCCTGCTACTCTGACCATGGTCAGAGCTCCTGTATGCATTCTGCTCAATAGGTACATATCCTCAGCCTGTCCTTTATATACACATCTGTGTCTGCCCTCACAAAAACAGGCAGCGTTTTTTCTGTGTGCTTAAGGCTTTTCTGTCACTTTTTTCTTCCTCTTTGTGACATCATAACTTGTCCTTCTAGTTTTTGAATCACTGTCTTGAATGCGACTCCAGTGTTCATAGATCTGACTGCCCCTGCATTAAAACCAAGCTATCTTCTCTTCTGCTAACCAAGGAAGCTACCCTAGAGCTGTACATCCCAGCCTCTAGCCTATCCCACTGTCACTGTATACGAACATGATCTGGGTATTCTCAAGTTGGTAATGAGGAAATACCTTTTTGTAGAGAAAACTGAGAACGATGGTAGAAACCTTTGATTATATATTGAAGATGAGTGTTTTACATTTTCACATCTTTTGCATGAATTGCTTCAAAACTTTCAGCACACTTCAATTCTGTTTCAGTTCTACAAGTTCTCCGTGCACCTGCATGTTTATCTTCTGTTAGGCTGAAATCTGTACTGGCATTCCACAGATAAGCAGGAATTTATTACATTAAATTGGCTATTGCTGAACCCATTTGAGCACAGTATCAGGGCTCTCACTTGTTTACTGAGGCTGTGAACATTGCCTGGCTCTCCCTCTCCGGAGGCACAAGGATGTTAGGAGCTGAGCCCTGCCCCAGCTCATGTGATTTGCAGACTCTTTACCCTTCCTTATCACCACCTTAGTGTCAGTGCGGAAGCTACCTCCTGGGATACCTTCACAGCTGAAACTGTTCCCTCAAACCTTTTCTGCTGCAAAAGTTGGCTGCAAATAGGTCTCCAGACATGTAAGAACACCACCTTCATGCTGGAAAGATGATGTAGGCTCTGTAGAGAATGATTCCTCTGTTGATGTGGAATGGGTTTTACGAGGTAAGAGTGAAGTTGCATGCCAGTGACTGCCTTCAGTCTACGCGAAGCACAGCCTTTCGGGTGACCTCACATTTACATCAGTCTTACCATTTGCTTCCACCTGAATCAAGTTTGAGTTGCTGTAACACCAAAGTACATTTGGAGCCAGGTGTTTTCCATTCTACCCACTGCTGACAAAGTGCGTTTGTCTTATTCTTTTTCCTACACCCTTCTCCTATCTGATGCCTGTACACAACAGCAACTCCCTTTCTCCTGTTGTTTCATGCAGGGGAGACCTCGCCTATTTTAGAAGGTCCCTGGGCATTTCTAGGAGTGGCAATAAAAAATCTTGGGAGTTCACTTGACTGTTAGATTGATAGCTGCACTTGGAATCTGAGAGGCCACTCATGTTTCCTAATTTATTACCAGATGAAGGGATAATAAACTTTATTTAGGAACTAGATAATTCATTACAACCCAGAAGAGAAATGATAAAGAGGTCTGCTGAGGCAACCCTTGCTGTTCTACTTTTACAACGACCACATGAGCAAAACAGCTCCAACAAATGGGATAGTTTCCCTGTGGTCTTGTTGTTTTGAATCAAATTTTCTTCAGGTTATTTTTATTTTGTAGACTAGAACAAGAGACTAGATTCAATATTTTAAAATAATTTAAATTACAGTGTAAGTCCAGGATTTGGAGTGGTCTTCATTTTCCAGATTTCCATCTCGTTTTGCATACAGTTTGAAAGTTTCATGTTTTTTGAAGTATGGTCAGAACAGAAGGCGTGTTCCCCATTTAGCTGAGGGAAGGCAAGTCTGCTGGCTTCTGTCCCCCCCAGCTGGGGGTGTGCTCAGGCCCTTGGCTTTCGGCAGAACCTGTGTGGTTCGGTTCTGTGCCCTCCTCCCTGCCAGCGTTCACATTGACTTTATAAATCACTTTTTGAAACTCACGCCCAATGCGAGCTGTAGAATAAATGCAGAATAAACCCTGCCCCCTCCCAACGGGCACGGGACGCCGGCGGCCGGCCCCCGACGGGACCCCCCGGCTGACACGAGTGGGGCCGTCTGTGTTCTTCTCTCCGCAGGTGGCAGCGCTGGAGGAGGCCGTGGAGGAGCTGCTGGGCCAGCTGGAGGCCTTCTGCGGGCTGACGGAGGCGGTAGGTGTCGTGTCGTGTCGCGGCGTGTCGCGCACCGGAGGCCATGTCGGCGCGGGCCCCGCGGGGCCGCCATCTTGACAGCGCCGCCGCCATCTTGTCGCCCACCAGGTGGCGCTGCGGTAAGCGCGGCCGCCAGGCCACGCCCCTCGCACAGCAGGCCACGCCCATCATTCCTATCAGGCCACGCCCCTCCGCTAAGCCCCGCCCCTCCCCTCCGCATTACCGCTGGGGCTGGGGGCCGGGGCTCCATCCGCAGCTCACCGATTCTGCTGGCCATCGGCACTGCCCGAGCGCCTGTGATAAACTCTTCAGAGCAGGAGGTGTGCGGTGCTCCTTAGCTTCCGTCAGGCTTTCTGCATAAGGCCATGCTGTCTGAAGGCAGCTTGTGTTTTGGTGTTAACATGCAAAGAATGGATGTTGGTTTTGCAGCCGACTTTTCTTTCTCTTCCTTAAGCTAAAAAATATAAAATTAGGTGAAATGGCACTGCATTTTAATCCTGAGTGCTTCATAGAATGCTGGTTTAGCTAGCATGCACCAGGTTTACCTAGAGGGGCTCTCTCCTAAATTCACTGATATGCAAGCCATATGCAGGTGTGTTATCACTCACCACAATGTTTTTCTTCTCTGTCTTCAAGCATCTTGTGTATCTATGTCATCATCATCAACTGCAACAACTGCTAATTGCAATAAAATATTGAATGCACCTCAAACAGCAAGAAGTGACCAGCCAACATCTCTATTGGGTGTGTGGCATTTTTTGCTTAGGGAAGGGAGGCATCATTGCTTCCAGAAGGAAGTGACATAGTGTGGAAAGAAACAAAAGCTTAGCTCATCAGTCTCACATGATTAGTAGGGGACTTAAAAGGAGAAATAGTTGCCTTGAAAGAATGGTTCAGTATTAGTGGCTGTTTAAAGCGCTTCTTTTTCCATTCAGCTTTTACAAAAATAGCTGTAAAGGAGCATGTGAACCTCAGAGCATGCAGCCTATTTTTTGATACATCTTGGCTTATATTTGTCAGCTTTAGATTCTCTAGTGTGGCATGTTTAGTTTCTGTAAAACATAGAGTAGAAGAAATTGGGCCCAAATCTTTTGACTTAATTCCTGCAAGGTGATGACTGCTTCAGTGATGTAATATCAGCTGTTCAAACCAGGAGGTTTGAATCAATAGCTCTTCACTAATGATTGTATTCTGCCTGATTTACTATTAAGTTCATTCATTCATTTTTTCTATGTGGGACCTTAGACTTATATATATATACCTTATGTTTTTTCTCATCAATCAGGCATGTACCTTACATTGTTGGCTCCAATATATGGGAGAAGGTTAGCTTGTTCACATGGATCCAGTGAGCTTGTAAACCTCCTATGAGACTTCTTCTCTTGCCAACCTTTTCTACAGAAAACACTAACCTATTTTCAGTACACTATCTTTGCTTTGCCCATTAAAATATTTTTTTCCACGACCTACAGGCTGTGAATAATTATCTAGTATGCAGATTATTGACCTTATCTGGGAACATCAAAGCACCAGAGCTAGCGTGTTGATTTTGTTCCTTTCAATCCAGTACCTCTAATGTCAGGTTCCTTTCAGCAGCACATCAAGTGGTATCTGGGAATCTGATAAATATAATGTAGTGCTTGAATTGATTCCAACTGCTGTGCGTAGCAATAATTTGGTCTTTTGTCTATGCCAACAAAAGACAAGGGGAATCTTGCTTATTTCACTTGGGCATTCAGTAAAGTATTCACGTTAGGGGGTTTGGCTTTTCTCCCTTGAGTGTGCTGCTGCTTTTCACTTAAAAGTACTCTTGATGCATAGGTTTGAATATTAGAACGGGGAAAAACTGGGTCTTCAGTGCTAGGAGTACAACATGCTAGTTCCAGAGTCACGCTGTTATAACTGGCTAGGCACAGCACTTAAAATAGACACCTGTACAGTAGGTAAGTTACAGTGACACTAAATGCAGCCCACTATACCTCACACTTGTCATGGAAGGAGCATCTTGCAGTGAAAAGATTGTGCCAGAAGCATGTTAGTGTTAGGTACATTTTGCCTTCCTTAGGGCATGGACTTCAACAAAGTTTAATCAATGTCTTTTAAGTGGCTTCACAGCTCCTTAAGTGTAATTATCAACTTGCGATTTTAACTGAGCTACACTTTGAACCAGTGACACAAAGGCAAAAAACTTCACTGTAATAACCAGACTCTTACATATGCTGTTCTCACATTGTTTTCAGAGTCATATTTGTATCTTTTGGATATAATTCTGTGTACTTCTTGTGTGTCTTAAAACCTGATTGAAAATGATAGCTATTCAGAGATACACATCTGATTTTGGTACAAATTCACTACTTCAATTTCTTTGGCTTCAGATCCTTGAAGAGGATGTAGGGGATATATATAAAATCTCTATATTTGATACTCTGATTTTTTTAAAATACGTATGTTGATTCTCCAGTGTACCCAGCAGTTTATAAAACCACAGGTTAGTGGTTCTCAAACCACTGAACCTTCTTGCAGAACTCACCCCAGGGGTTCTTCCACAGACCAGCTGCTAACTGCCTATCGTTGTCTCACAGACTTACAGTTTGGGAACCTCCTCCCTGAGACCCTAGGTGTGAATCCTGGTTTCGTCACTGGGGAAAGGAGGGGAAGAGGTTATGTTTGGTTTGCTGTGGCTGGGGTTTGCTAACTTCTTAGGAACATGCCAACCTCAGGTTTCCCTTTTCTCACCACTGAGCCGTTCACTTTACCACTGCTACTTTTGCTGGTGGTTCTTTGATGTTACTTTGTGTTAACATATAAAGAAACCAGAGAGCCTTTCAGATAAACCCCTGTGACAACAAGAATTTGCACGCTATATTTTACTTTTACTTGTGGCTCCAGCTTTTTTCCTTTTTCTTTTTTTTTTTTTTTTAATTTTATTTATTTATTTATTTATTTTGACAAAATACCAAGGATGCATGCTTGTTTAACTGGTGCAGCTTGAACTGCAGTGTATGCAAGAATTGGGTCTCACTGCCCTACATGCAATGTGCTGTTCCTGGTGTGTGTCCTAATTCATCATTCATACTCTGGTTGTGCTGTCTGCTAAGTGACTTTTGTGCTGTTGGTTTGCTGCCTCCTTGGGCTTTGTCTTGCTGACTTGAACTATTAGAAGACAAAGTCCAGTCAAACCTCCCTTCCCTTCACTCACTCCTCAAATTAGCATAGTAAAACCCAGTAAGAGGAGAAGAGTTTAGTTTTGTTCTTATTTTTCTGTGTTCTGGTGCTTGTGCTGAGCACTCAGATAAGTCTTCAGTAAATGAAGTAAAATAATTGCACAACGGAAAATAAATCTTGTTTTATAACGTGGGGTTTCATACCAGTCCTGTTTTCCCTGGCTTGTGAGAGGTTGCTGTACCAAGAGAATCATTTCCCTTTGTCGTGTGCTGGCTCCTCTTGAACTCCTCTGTCGCTGTGGTTCTGCAGACTGCTGCAGAATGACTCTTCTTGAATCATATTTGCATGTCATTCCCTTCCATCACAGGCTGCTTGCTGGAAAAGCAACTCTCCTCTATCTTGTATTGGTTGTTTGCTTTTACCCTCAAATAAATATGGTTTAGATTTGTTCCGTGTCTGCTATGACCTTGTTATGTTGATAGTTTTTGTACTGGGTCTGTACAACATCTTTCTTTTTCTGGCTATATCCCAAACTGTGGTTATATTTACAGAAGCTATCTAGCATTTAGCTGTAAGAGTGGCTTTGCTGTAGTTCTTTCTGAGAGGAATATTAGTGAACAAGTTTCTTAGTCTGTTACCTTATCTTTGGGAATTACAGGCTCAAATTTTATTCTGATGTAGTTTACCTGAGTGTGAACCTCACCTCAGATCACCAATTTGTTTTTCATTTCTGCTTTATTATAAAGGTTTGGGCTTGGCGTGCCCCCACCTACTATCGACCTCCCAAAAAATTCAATAGGGCAACTCTGGAATTTATCTGCTTTAGCTCCTTCATTTTCTGTTCTTTTTGCATTTTTATTATAAGTCTGACTCCATTTACAGGCATCTGGCCCATCTGTCCGTGCTTGTTTTCTGTTGGATATAAAGCACATAGTGGAAAGATAACAGCGTGTGGCTGTGTCTACAGTTGCTTCACCGCCGGGTGGATGTAGTGCTACGACCAGTAACACAGGAGACACTGTTGGTTTGTTTACAGTAGAAAGCTAGTACTATTTTGATATGTCTGTTTGATCTCATATCTTAGAATGTTTATAGCACTATTAAGCACTTGATCTGCATTTACTCATGCTGGTAATAAAAATGCTATAAAATCTTACTAGGAGTCATTTTATACGTATCTAGCTTCATCCATTCTAAGCCTTTAAAAACATTACTTCTTTTAAAAAGAAAAAAAAAAAGAGAGTCGTATCATCAATAAAATTTCTAAGTACTTATTAAAGTTTATAAAGCATAGCCCAGCTCTTGGCCTATCCATCTTTTTTTTTTGTACATTCTGTTAGCTGTAGCCCTCTGACTGGAGGTGCGTCTTAACTGCCACCTAACAAAACACTCGGAGTTGTTTATGTAGGGAATCAGGTAATTCTTGCTAACACAAACATTAACAGAATTTCAAATAAAATTTGAAATCAGGCTGTCATATCGAGGTCACAAGCAACCTTAGTTCTACTAGCAACCAAACAAAATTCCTGCATTAGGGCACTTAAGAGTTGTGGAAGCTGACAGGTGCTGGGAGCAGAAACTTTCTCTGAGGTGCTTACACTAGAACTTTTACATGAAGATTCCCGCTGTCCTGAGCCCCCGTTGGAGACTAGATGCTACAAGTGGTGTAATCAAAGATCTGACCAAGCTTTTTCTCTGTTTTGTTGTTAGTATCAGACTGCATTGCAAATTGAATTGTACTATTTAGGTGTAAATGGTCTTTTAGCACCAGTTGATAGCCAAGAGTGACCTCCTGCTACCCCTGAATGAGGATAATTTGCCACAGGCTAACTCAAATCCTTTTCAAAAACTATTGATTTTCATTTTAAATTCTTCATTACCCCTCATGTCTGCGGCATTTCATAATGGAAAGTGAGAAGTGTCTTGGGAGGAGTAGCGTGGAAATCTGGGGAGAAGAGGAAGGCTGGTTTTGAGGTCGGAGCCCTGTCAGCTGCTATGGGTTGTTTTGTTGTCCCTGATTACTTGAGAAAATGTGTTTTTCCCAATCTCTGCTTAACAGCATACTTACCAAAGGGCCCTTATGATATCGTTTCAGAGTAGAAGTGCTTTGAAATATTAAGATGAAAAAAATAGTAAAGAGTTTATCATCAAGGCTCATTCTCATGTGATATTCTTTCTTCAATGCAGATTAGAAGCGATACATCAGAGATCCTGGAAGAGACCATTCCACTCATTAAAGACAAGGTGCTGGAAATGAACCACGTCTATGCCAAAATTGATAAATTGGAGGTTTGTTAATTGTATTGGAAAGTTTACATCCTTCTTTTTGTGTGTTTTATAGGTTAACTGTCTAGGTATTTGCATGAAGCACTCGTGTTTGTTTTTCAGTCAATGTGATTCTTACCTGTGGTCCAGCCCATGCAATTGTTTATGGTTTTGGAAGATCACAGAGTAATTTATTGCTGTGGATTCTACAATTCCTAATGCTGGATTAAATGCACTAGTTATGTTTTTGATGTTAATAATAATGCTGGTAATGTTAATTTGTTTTGTGACTCAAAGGAGTGTCTGTGAAACCACTTATAAATTTTAAAAAAAATTAAAGTCTGGCATCCAGTGCTGAACATACTCAAGCTGTTCATGATGGCTTTATGTAGTTGAGGGGAGATCTCTGAGCCCCCATCTTCTGCCGTGTATTTTGGTGTTTATTGTATCCTGACTGAGGGAAGCCAGTATGACTCACTAAGATGCCCTCACCATATTTAGTAAGCAGTATGTTAAAATTTGTGTCAACTGAGGGCGAGTTTGCCTCTAGGAAGAATATAATTAAAACGTGACGAGATAAATTGTGTAATGCTTAAAATCACTTTTAACTGACTTAGAAGTGAAATAAACTGAGTGTTTGTGGCATTAATTCCAGATAGGCAGTTCTTAAGCTTCAACCTCTACCCCTGTACAAAGTGGTAATATTCTCTGATGAGGTATACAGCTATGGGAGGGACAGGGCAATTGACTTTGCTTTCAGCAAGTTTTGTTAAATGCAATTTAATTTAATTTTATTTTTTTTTGTAGTTTGCCTTTTTACACTTATATTTGATAACAGATTTATCAAAACACTTCATATTTTATGGACAGCACCAGGAGAAAGATTGCCACAGGAAACTGAGGCAAGGCATTTTAGAACAAAAGTGGGAGTCAACTGAAACCTGTCTGATTTTCAGAACTGAGTTATCCTCGTCTAAGAAATAGCACACTTGACAATTTGGTTATACCTGAATGTATACTTAAGCTGTGTCTTTGAACAGAAAACGAAAATAAAAACTAAGCAATTAATTATCCCAAAAGTATGGCAAGCAACAGAGCTCCTTTTTTTGCCCCCTCTAATACAAAGAGGGAAAAAACACCCTTCCTGCCCCTTTACCCAGTTCCCTTAATACAGCTGTAGGAAGATAATAATTTGGACTATGAAGAGAGCCCGTCTTTATGATAGGCTACAGGTTGCCCTTGAAAAATGCAGCAAACTTGTGTTGATAGATGTTCTGTGTTATCAGACTAGGCTAATACCTTCATTGATTAGAAATCAGTTTTTCTCCCTGACATTACCAGCTGTAATGGCAGTAATCTGAGAACACAAGATTAAATTGGCAGTTTGAGCAGTAGTTAATGTCTTAATTAGAACTTTTAAATTTAAAGCTTAGCATCCATAGGGATTTTCAAGGGAGAAAATGACTTGTACCCCCAAGAGTAAAAAAGGGAGAGACTGTTGTGTAATGGGTAAATGGAATGAAATTCTGCTGGGTTTTAACTTTGATGTTGTCACTGGTATGTTTGGAACAACTAATTTACCTGCTCAACCTTGCCTTATCCCTAAAATGGGCAGTGATCAACCTCTCTCTTAAAAAAAACCCAAGGCATAATCATTAATAGTGGGTATCAAAATTATTTATAGTTTTGTGTTTTAGCAAATACTATTTTTTTTTTTTTAGTTGGCTTTCCCGTATGGCTCAAATTTAAGCTGAAACTGAACTAATGTAGGCTTTAGGTCACTCATTCCTGACCTTTTTTTAGCTAAAGGCACCTGCTATTATCTTTTCCTCTGCTCTCTCCTCCCTCCTACCACTGCGGTCACTTTCTCACTCCCACCAGAAGTTGTAGTGCCTGTGTGGGTTCAGAGGAGTTTTCACCTCACTGTTGAAATGTTGTCGGCCCTTCAGACACAATGGAAGGACTTAATTTGTGTGCTGAAGAGGGAGCAAAGCTGTGCCCTTAGAAAGAGGGAAAAAAAAAAAAAAACAAACAACTAGCCTTAGGTCATGAACAATGGTTCTTCTGATAGCTATAAGTATCTGTAGCCTACTTCTGAATATGTGCCCCTTTGATATTTATATTAGCAATAGTGCATCCTGATATCTTGTTAATTTTTTTTCTTTGACTTCGGATCTCTATCTAGGGTAATGCTGAAATCCAGATCAGGTGCTTTTAATTTTCATAAGGTGTTTCTCCTCTCTCCATAGGCATTTGTTAAAATGGTTGCACACCATGTTTCCTTCCTAGAAGAGCAAGTGCTTGAAGCAGAGAAGAGCCATGGAACTTTTCTTAATGCTGTTTGCAAATTGTTTCAATGTGCAACTATCCCATCTTTTAAAAACGTGAGTATTTTTAAAGCTGGTTTCAGAGGATGGGGAAGATGTTAAATACCTTTTCTAGATAAAATGTGGCCTTCCAGGAGATTTGATTTTTAATTTTAAGTTGTGTAAAAGAGATACCCATGGTTTGCTTCTGTGAAGGGATTTTTTTTTTTTTTAAACAGATTCTTTCAATTAAATTATTTAGCAGTGCATATATCCCCCCTCACTCCCCACCCCCCTTTTTTTTTTCTCCTCACAGAGACGGTGCAGTATTATGCATAAAACCAGATAGGCAATAATATGCAGGTATCAGTGAATAGGGACAGCTGAACCAGGTCAAATTTTTGTTTGGTGTCAGAGCAACCTCTGTAAACTTCCATTGCAGAAGTGAAGTTCAATTTCTACAGGTTCAGGACAAACCTTAACTGCTCACAGAGTGTAATGATTATGCAGAGGCGTGGAAAGAAGATGGTGCATGCTGATTTGGTCTTTGGATAATTTAGCTGTCAAACTCTAGTGAATCTTTAGAAAACCCTAGTAAAAAGTGTAACTTGTCCAAATTTGGTAATATTTTCATAGCAATGGGAAAAGATGTCCATGATATGAGGACAGTTTTCTGCCAATTTAAAATTTCTGCTGTAGCTTATGAAGGCAATGGAGCTTTTCAAAAGGGCTAAACGGCACATACTTTTCCTTATTTTTGTTATCTAAATTGGCTTATTTTTGTTCCTTAAAACTTTCCAAGCATGTTAAGCCTGCAGCAGATACCCAGTCTGGGAAAAGTATCAATGCTGGATTTTTTTGCAAGGTTGGTCTGCCTATACAAATAATGTTGTATAACCAGGATGCCAAGAAGAACGGAGAAGGCCAGACTAGTTACTCAGATGCTGGCTAGAGTTGGGCTCAAAGATAATACAATGTTTTTAATATATATATTTTTTTGTCCTTATAAAGAAAAATCTCAAATATTGTGTAGTTGTGTATTCATTCTTGCAAGCATCTTGGAATGATAGAATTAGTGAACAAAAGAGAAAAATAAATAGGAAATGGTGTAACTTCCTACTGTATTGATCTTTTGCCCTTCCTCTCATCTTTTTCCCCAAATATAGTACAACTAGAAAGCATGGTGAGAGAGCTAGCTAGGATGAACACAGATAAAAGTTCCTTCACAGGAATTTCTAAACAGAAGATTAGCCTGAAGGAGGACAGGACAGGATAGAGATTTGTGAAGCCATTCTGTATGTGGAACAGGTGAATAGAGAATGATTTTTCACTCCCTGGCATAACTCAAGAACTATGGTAATCCAAAGAAATTATTGTCAGGCAGGTTCACCATGCAAAAAAAGGGGAGGTACTTAATTTACATGATGTATTAATATGCAATGACACTTATGTTCACAGTATGTTACGTATTCCAAAAGTGGTCAGACAAATTCATGTAAAGTAATCCAAAAATTGGTATTTTAAATATACATATACCAGTCCTTCAGCCATGAATTCTTGGACACTGGGAAGTAAATTGGTATTTTTGTCCTTTAAACGTTTCTTTAGACAATCCCTTCATCTGGTCCATCCTGGACCTTTGAATGATGCAGTATAGCTGCTTGTTAATGACTTTTCTACTGTGGTTCTCACTGTAAATTCTGCATCTGATTGGCAATGCTTTGTGTTGGTAAAGAATTACTAATTTCTAATGCCAATGTGCAGAAATCAATGAGTTGTTTACGAATGTAAATGAAGTTAGAATTTTCTACAGGCACTTTCCCTATGATTTGGCTGTTGCTTGAAACCTAATAAGATCTCCACCAGCTAATGAAATTTCTGTGCTCTCTCCAAATGTGTTTCTTTGTAGTTGTGCATCCTCTTTCCTCTGCTCTGTAGGATATCATGGCACAGATGCCCCTTAGGCATCCTTTGCCATTTGAAAATTAAGACAGTCCTAACCATTTTTGTAGGTGAGTTTAACTTGGTCTGAAAATATGGTACCAAACTTGTGTATCTTATCTCTCTAGCCTTCTTGATCAGACTAGGTATAAAAACGTGTGAGTTGCCCGCTTTGAGGAGAAGGAGTATGTGCACATATGTGTATTTCAGCTAAGTGTTTTCCTCGTCTGATAAAACTGGCCTGCTATTTTAAGTGCAAGTCAAATCTGATTCACATTGTTTTTCCATTATATTGCAAGGTGCAGTCTTTTTTTTTTTTTTCTTTTCTTTTCTTATCTTTGACTCTGTTTGGGTATTCAAGTTGTTTCCTATAGAATTCCAATGCACAGTAACACTGGGAGAGGTGTCAAACCTGTGGGAGAAAATTGAATAATCAGAATTCACGCTTTGTGTTAGGAATATCCAGAGGTGGTTTGAAAAGAAACGACCTTATACTAAATATAAATTACAAATATGACTGTGTAAGTCTGACAGGTTATAAGAATATAACACCTCCTGGGGGAATGGAACAGAGGAAATAACTTTCTCCTGTGAAGTTTGCAGCTCTGTAGCAGAACAGCTTTTCTCCTGTAAAGATTGAACTCTGTATGGGAGAAACTGTGAATTCAAATCTTTTGTCCAAAGATTTTATCTGTGCCCTGGCTGAATGGGGTTCAGCAATCTTAGAGAAAGGACAGGAAATCTATTTTAGAAAACTTTAGTGTGGGGAGTTTATTAAAAAAAAAAAAAAATCACTAGTATCTATTCCAATGGATCAAAACTGAACACCAATAACTCTTCCATTTTTTCACGCATTTTGTGATAACTGCCATTTCTTAAAACCGGAAAATGTCTTTCAGTGTCATTAGATAATACCTTTGACAGAGATTTATCTTTAGAATAATTTTTAACCCTTGTATAGTTGCAGGGAAAGGCTTGTAAAGTTATAACCTCCAAAAATCTCATACCAGTGCTATGAAGAAAAAATACACATTAGATTTTTCAGAGACTTTTTATTGTCAAATCAACAGCATAGTTCACGAATGGCATTGATTGGCAATGCTGCAAATGTTCTCCTCCAAGTGATTCCATTAGTTACTGGGCTGTCAACGCAGTGTTGCATGAATTCTAGAACGTGGTACAACACAGGGTTATTTAACAAGATGTTGCCCTTTTCCTCTTCAAGCCAAAACTGGGGTTGATATATGGTGGATCAGACACAGTTCTGAGAAAATATGCAAGTGGAAAAGATCCTTGGCGTTCACAATTAGCTATCATGTACTCAGAAAAAGTCATAACTTATGAAGGACAAACATCAAATTAGGGAGCTTTAATTCTGTAAAACTGTTCTTTACATAATCTAAACCAGCAAAAATTGGTGCATAACTGCCCTCAAAGGTGATTGTGATCCAAACTGGGAAACTTTAGGAATAAGAAAACCAAGATATTTTTGTTTCATATTCTTTTCGAACATAATGAGAATGGCTTGACAGATACTCAAAACCCAGTCTGAGAAGCATACAGAAAAGAGAGGGATGGTAGGTGTACTTGAAAAATTGTTCTGGAATTTTGTCGCATAGTGTAAAGAAGCAGATAGTTAGAAATTCACTGTAAGTAGATCTTTTTACATCATTATTCATAAGCCCTTAATACTGTAGTGGTAGTGGGTTTTGTACCTGCAATTGCCTGGCATATTGAAAGCAGATAAAATGTCTTTTAAGCTTATAAAAAGTAGTGTTTCCATTTTAATTTTCTTACTTTCCATTGTACTCAAAGTGTCCTTAGTGTTTTGGTTTGTGCTGCCAAGCAATGAGTGTGTATTTTTATTTGGAGCATAACTTAATGCGCTTTGTATTTCTTTCCAATAACAGTTTTTAAGTTTAATATTAAAAGCATGTTAATTTTAATTGTTATGAGATTGTTGTCAATTATTGATGATACTCTTAGGAATTTTCAGAATTTCGTACTGAACTTGGGAAGAGATTATTTGTTTGTTTGTTTTTAATCCCCATTTTCTACTAATGTAATCTCTAGAACAGCAGCTGGTCATCTGAGGAGGGTTTTGCTGTTTTGTCTGGACTAAGGTGCTCACTAATGGTTTTGTTTGGTTTGGTTGATTTTTATTTTTTTTATTTTATTTTCCCCTGACACCTAGATTTTAGTAAATTGAACTGGGAACTCGGTAATGGGATATGAAGTATTGTCAGTTTATTTTACCTGCAGCTATGCTTGAGGTTGATCCTGTCCCATTCTGATTTGGACTGATCTGCTAGCTGCTTTGGGAGCCGCAGAGAGGTGGCGATGGTTGTATGTCAAGAAAGGCAACGCTTCAAAATAAGAAGATACAAGCGAGGGGGTGTAGAAGGCCCAGAGGTCAAGATTTCAGCTACCTGTAGCTTTAGCCCTCATTTGCCAGCTTCCCTGAGGGAGCTTGCACAGTTCTTGAAGTGGAGTCTGAGCTTCTTTACAGAAGTCTGGCATCTGCTAAGGACAACTTGAGAGAAGCTGCAACACAGTGCATGGACCGCGAATGAGCAGTGCCACTGGTGTGAAGGAACAGGAGGTGAGGGCGCTTGGGGCTTGCACACAGGAGTAGAAGTACAGATGTTCACATCAGGGCACTGAGAATATCAGAGGAGGCTGGGGAGGAGAAGTGGGGAGCGTGGGCTGTAGGATCCAGTAGGCACATGCACAACGGTTGGTAGTTTCCAAGCGTGTGCAAATGGAAGTCAAAATACAAACTGCTGCCCATTCCCTACTGAATGATTTTGCACTTACAGCAAGTGTGAAAAGTCTTTGCACTAGAAATGTCATTGCTAGAGTGTCCAAAGCAAGAGAGTACAGTGGTGTGTCAATAAGGACTTGGGTAGCACATGTTCTGAGCTACATACACAGCCATAGGGAGAAGTTGTAGTGTGATTGCGGCTTTACAGAGAATGACTGGTGTAAAGGGTCTCTTGTACTAAACAGGTGTCGCATGGAGGAAATCAGCTTTTAATTGAACCGTCACGCTGAAACGTTGGCAAAAAAAGAAAAATGAATCTAGTTAACATTCAACAATGAAATTAAAATGACAATCTAGATTCTTTTTTAATCAG